GCCAGGGGAGGCCTCCGGAGTGAGAAGGGGCTCGCCCTCGCCTCACCCCCCCCCAGGAGGCCTCCCGGCCCCGCCTTGGCTGCCTGGTAAAGCCACCGGATCCTGCCTGTGCAGGCCCTGGAGGCTGGGGGTGGTGGGGGGGGGCAGCTCCTGGGCCGCACGGGGTGGAAGAGGGCTGCTGCCACGGTCCTGTGCCGGCGGGGTGTGCCGGCCTCGCCCTCCCACGCCAGCCGTTCTGAGGCCTGCCCCCGAAGGTCATGTGCCTTTGCGTCATGGCTCGGCCCAAAGTCCCCCACAGCGTGGAGACCGTGACGAGTGGCGCAACACCGGGGGGGGGGGGTGCCGTTGGTGGGAGAGGCGCGTGCTTGTTGGAGAGTGAGAATGTCAGAGAGCGAACAGGCGGTGGAGTGAGCAGGAGGTGGAGGTGCGTGGCCGGAGGCGAAGGCATTGCCAGCGTGTGGCTGTGCCAGGGGCACGGAAAGAGCCCGGCTTCGCGGGCGCATAGTCGTGATGTGTGGCTGAGCGCCGAGGGAGATGGTGCGCGATAAGCCGAGTGCAGTACGTGTGTGGAAACAGTTGTGTGGGCAGCGCGATCGTGTGGAGGTGGCCAGGTGTGGGGATGTCGTGTGTCTGAGCGCTCAGCGGGATGGAGCATCTGGAGGAGCATCGCTGCCTTCTCGAATACACATGGCTCGTTGCCGAGGGGCGGTGGGGTAGGGAGAAGACACCTGCAGCGGTGCACGGACAAGCCCCTCGCCCCTCACCCCATCTGAGGAACCAAAACCAGGCTGGAAAACAAGAGCTGTCCTCGGACCTGGAATTTGGAATTGCAAACAGAGAGTCGGGTGAGGCGGCTGTCCAGAGCTGTCACGGGTTGCCCTGGTGAGGAAAAGAGATGAGGAGGACGACCCTGGGGTGCAAATGGTGGCCCAAGCAGGTGGCCACCATTCAGAGAAGGTGTGGCTGCCGGCCTGTGCAGCTCCTCCTCCTCGTAAAGGTTGGGACACCGTGTGCCCAGCCTTCTCCAACAGGGCGCCCTCCAGGTGTGTTTGACCGCAGCTCCTTTCATTCCCAGGCAGCACGGGAAGGTCGGACTTGTGGCCAGTGCAGCTGGAAAGTGCCAGTGTGGGGAAGGGGAGCGTGGTCCCCTCCAGAGGTGGGGTGGGGAGGACAAATGCTGTATGCACCTGGACACCCGGGGCTGTATGAGCAAGAGGGAAGATGCCAAGTGTGGGCACGGCCGGTCACAGGTGGGAGCTCACAAGTGCGTGATGGGTGGATCCGTGGAGATGGCACACCTGTGAGCATCCAAGGCAGATGTGGCTGGACGTGGACGCAGGGCGCCAAGACCTCTGTTCTGGGCGCATCATTTCGAGTAACTCCTCAAAGGGAGGATGTGGGAGCCAGTCAAGGGGAAGGGCTCTCCAGAGCTCCCGGGAGCACCGGGCACATCCACAGCGGCCGTGTTGTCGTGCCTCTGGTGTGGGTTGTAGCTGTGTGGCCTGGCCCCATGCAAGGTGGTTTCTGCTCATACGCGTGCCAACAGCACCCTGCTGTGCCTTCCACGCCCCATGAATCCTGTGCCAGGCAGCACTCACCTGGCGCAGGCTGCCCACTTCCCCTGCGGTTGCCTGGGTCCGGACGGCGTGTCTCCAGACTGAGATGCGCGCACACCTCGTGTGCCCTGCAGCTTCGGGCGCCTCAACTCCTCCTCGTCGTGCTCGTGCTTTGCCCGGCACCTTTTCACGAGTGTCTCCGGCAAGCACCCAGTGGAGCCCGGGACACCGTCCCTGGCATGGTGCCAGCCTGCAACATGCGTTGTCTGGAGCGTGCGGCAGGCAGATGTTGCGACCTTGCCCTCCGTCGGGGAAATGAAAGCCGGGCTGTGGCGGGAACCTCTCCGCAGTGTGGACCTGGGCTGGGCAGAGGGATCGGGCCCGGTTCAAGCAAGCAGAGATTTCTGTGAAGCTGCAGTGGGCAGCCTTTTCCTGTGCCATGCAGACTGTGGACCATGGGTTAGGGAGGACTGTTTGCAAGAGCCCTGCTGCGCACTTGCACAGCTGGAATAAAACCCTCGTGTATAGTCCAGTTTGGTGCGCGAGGGGCCAACAGAATGCAAGCCAAATCTGTGAATCACTGTTGGAAAGGTTTTGAACAAAATCTCTGCACGCGCCTGTGTGCGCACAGCTCTGTGTATCTAAATATACGAGGAAGAGCTTGGCTGCTGTGGGACTGCTCCCCTTCCCTCTGCGCTGCGCTGCTCTGCTCTGCTTGACAAGCCAAGAATTGCCCGGGAGGCCCCCGCCCGCCCGGGGTCTGTCGCGGCAGCCACGACGGACTGACCGCTGCCTCGCCCTGCCAAACTTAGCGCTCCGTCCCGGCTCTTCCAGAAATAGCCGTGCTCTTTGGCTGCAGGGTTGCTATGTGGCCCGGCCATAAATTCGCGCCTGCTCTCCCGGCCCGGCGGGGGGGGGGGGGTGCTTCATGCTGCCAGGGGTGCAGAATGCCGCCGTGCGGCGCACGCTGCCCCCCACCTCCTCTCCCCGGCCGGCTGGGGCTGGGGGTGGGCGTGCAAGTCACTGTCTGGCTGCCGCCCACGGTAGGAAGAGCGGAGCGGCTCGAACCACACGGTGCGGGTGTGTTTGGCGCGCGGGGGGCGGGCTGGCGGGCATGCCAGGCTGGGCTCCGCTTGTGGCGGGACGCAGGCTCGGCCGGCTCGGGCAGTGGGCGGGGGCGGGCAGGGGCGGGTGAGTCACAGGCTCGGGTGGTGGTGACTCCCGGCCGTTTCCTTCCCTCCCTCCCCCGGTGTCTTGTGGCAGCGTGGGAAAAAGCTGCAGCTTTCAGCCCTTCTTCTGGGGGCGCCCGGCCTGCTGGCAGAGATGGGCCCAGGCCACGCCCCACAGCCCCCCCGAGGAGGCCGCTTGGCCGGCGCACCGGGCATTTGTCTTCCCCTTGAGCAACGCAGCCTGCCTTCAATCTGGCAGCCTCCAGGTGTGCTGGGCTACAACACCCATGAGCCCCACCCAGCTAGGAATGATGGGAGTTGTAGTCCGACACAGGGTCAAGGACCGGCTACAGTCACTCGGCGCTCGTGGTGGCACATGTGCCGCAAGAACCTGTTGCTACTGGGATGGGGACTTGGTCAGGATGCCTCTTCCGGGAGAGCCGAGTGCTCATGGATGTGCACCGAGCGTGGGTCTGCATGCCCAGGTCCCGGGATGTGCTGTGTTTCTCGCGCATGGAACACCTCCTGCCCCCTCTTGGTCTCTGCTCGTATGGTGGAGCTACTGGCCGCGTGCCTGCCTGCCAGGCAGCTTTGCACGGTTGGTTCTGAAGTGCCGGACAGACAACAGAGCAGCCGCGAGCTGGAGATGGGGGGCCACCCGGCCTCCCTGTCCGCAGAGCAAGGGCCCATTTGGTTCCTGCTCTTCCAGACGCGCCGCCGCCGCCTCTGCCTCAGGGAGCATGTGAATTCCAGGTGTTCAACCATGCGGCCCGTGGCTTCCTTGGGAAGGGAGGAACGACAGTGTCCCAGGGCGGTTCTCGTCCCCAGCGCCTGCCTCGGCCCGGCACTGAGGCCGAGGCGGCTCACGACAGCGCTGCAGTGCAGGCCAGCCCTCCTCGTGCCTCTGCCCCCCCAGAGGCTGGAGCGCGGCCCTGCAGCCAGCGCGGGCCATTCGGCCCGGTGGCCAGCGGGCGACATTTCGGCTTCCGACCGACCGGGGCTGGGCTGGGCTGGGCTGGGCTGGGCTGGGAGGCATCCGGCAGGGAGAGGCGGTGGCCTGAGGGAGACTCTGCAGTGAAGCAGATTGATCGCCCGGGAGGCGATCGCTCTCTCGCTCGCCCGCTCGCCTGGGCGTGTGGTGCTCCTTCCCTTCCGAGCGCCGGGAGACGAATGCAGCCCTGCCTCTCATTCCTCCCCCCCCCCGCCAGCTGTGTTGCAGAACCCATTAGGAGACTGATGTGAAAGATGATTGGTGGCTACGCGAAGGAGGTCGCGAAGGAGCTCGTGTGATTGGCTGTCTTCTGGAAGGGGAGGGGGGAGAGAGAGAGAGCGCGCGCACGCGCGCGCGAGAGAAAGAGAGAGAGTGCCAGGAGCACAGTAGGTGTGGTTTGCATCCTGGGTGGTGGCAAAGGCACGCAGGGGTTAACTCTGTGCAGGCCTGCGCAGAGGCCCCGCCTCCTTTCCCGAATACAGGCATTCCATTGGAAGGGGCAAGAGCGGCCCCGCCCGGCAGGGGGCTAGGCCTGTGTTCATTGGAGGGACACTCGCTGCTTGTTAACTCCTACCTTCCCGGACGGGATGTTGAGCTTGGGAATGAAGGAGGATGCGGGACTCGGCGACCGCGCGTTCGGTCCAGTGGCGGCCATGAGGCGACGAGCGCCAGCCCACCCCCGGGTGCCAACATTTAAAAGGCTGCGTCCGCACCCGCTCAGTCTGGAAATGGAGCGCCCTTCCCAAAACACCGCTCCAAACCAGGGGCAAAAATGCCTTTCAGTAAAATGCATGGAGATTCCAGATGTTGCTTGGTTTTTCAAAAGCATACACAATGGTGGCTTTCCTTCGCACGCGTTCATTGAAATGTGCTGAACTTCAAATTCAGCGAGGGTTATCCGGGTATGATAGCTGTTGGGATGCATTAAAGAGTTGGGATGCGTTAAATATGCCTGTTAAAGGTACTCTTGTAAATAGTTCTAGATAAGGGGATATGCAAGGCGCGGATTTATTTATCCGTTAGGAAGCTAACAGGTTTCTGGCCTGGCTTTCTGGAGTCACGCCCTGAGCTGCAAGCCCCTTCCAAGCGAAGGAAGGATACCTCTTCCTTTCCGTGAATGCCAAATGACCTCTTCTCGCCATCTCTCTCTTCTCTTTCCCAGCCTTGTATGTGGCAGTGACTGGAGGAGGGGAGAAACAGAGGAGACGCAACCAGCAGCGACTGGGTGGGGGCACCCGTCGCTCGGATCCTGGGGGGTGGAGGGGGGGGTACCAAGACGCGTCCACTGTGGCAGGAGAGGTAAGCACTTGCATTGGGGAGAGGTACAAGAGGGGATGTGGGCTGGGGGGGAGTTGGCATGATTACATCTTTACTTCCTCATCTCTCTCCCCTATTTCCCCATTTTAAAAAGTCCTTTAAAAAGGCTTTCCACATGTGCAAAACACCACTTTGAAAAGCCCTGTTTGACTCTGGACTGGCCTTCTGACGTAAACGCCTGGCCGGGTTTTGAACGCTTCCGGGCAGACTGGGACTCCTCTCGCAGCCCTGCTGCCGCTGGAAGCACATTTCGCTGGGCCATGAGTGAGAGTCTTGCCCCCTCTCTGCCCCCTCTTGACCAGCAAACAAAGACACGGTTAATTAAGCAGGATCGTGGCATATAAGCCGGGTGTGTTGCCAAAGGGGTTTTGGTGCCCGCAGCAAAAGCAGGACGGTTCCTGTCCCAAATTCCGGGGAGACATTCCAGATGTGCAGGTGGCTAAATCTGTTCTTGCTGCCCTGATGAGGGCTGCAGTGCTCCGGCCCCAGGTGGGCAGCTCACGCTCTGGGGAAGTGCCTGGCTGGGGCAGATGGGCTCAAGGAGGCGAGCATGGCCTCGAGGAAGGGGAGGCGGGGGGGTGGGGGGCGGCCCCGCCGTCCACCTGGCCTCTGAGCCTGTCCCTCTTCCTCCCGCAGACTGGATGCATCGCACCGTGGAGCAGCTGGGGGGCCGTGCTGGGCGGGACCCTTTTGCTGTCGGCAACCTGGGCTGCAGCGGGCCCTGGAGCGCATGCCATTCTCGCCCGTGGCTCCCGGGCGGCAGGTACCTCTTTGGGGACAGGAGGGCGGGACGCAGCCGGGGCGGACGAGGAATCTGTCCTGCAGGCAGGGATCTGCCAGGTCCCCCGGGCTTGGCTCCCTGGGCCCCGGCCTGCTTTGCAGCGGCCCCGGGTCTGAGCTCCCACGTTTGCAGGGCGAGCGCTTGCCAGGGATCAAGCGCCGTGCGCCGTGGAAGCAGCGTCCTCTTCCACAACTGCTGCAGCGGCCGTTGGCCGCACCAGGCAAGCGAGAAGGCTGGCAGTGGAGAGGGTGGAGGGCCGCCGGGCTTCCCAGAACGGCGCCTGGGCCCTCCCTGCGTCCTGCAGCCACTCTGGGGAGAGCCGCCAGGGGCAGAGCAAGGGGCCCACGGGCATGGGCAGGCTTCCCCTCCACTTGGCTTGGCCCAGGGGCAGGGACTAGCGGCCGGAAGCGGTTGTGGGCCATTCAGCCAGCCCAGCGCCCGGCTAGTGGTAGCGTCAGTGCTGGCTCACGTGGGTAAAGCCACCGTGCTCTGGGGCACCCCGGATGGCAAAGAGGCCTTTTGGCAGGCGGTCCCGTGTAGGACAACGAACCCGCCTCCGACCCCTCACTCCCGCAGAGCGTGCCTGCGGTGGGGGCTGTCGGGGCCGGGCGGCTTGCCCCGGGACGCTGTTTTCTCGGGGTGCCTGCAGGCGCCTGGCCTGTCACTCTTCAGTGTGCCTTGTGAACCCGGGCAGCAAGGCTTGCTTGAGGGTTAGGGGGCATTCTCATCGCCTGGGGCTTGCTTGGGGGTCGTCCCACCCTCAGACGCACAAGGGCTTGAGGGCCGCAAGCAGAAACGGCCCCTGTGGGCTGCCACGACTTGCAGACGGGCTCCCAGCCTCCGTCGTGCCTCCTCCTCCCCCCTGAATAGAATCAGCAGAATGAGTGGCCCAAGTCATGCCTTCCCCGAAAGAGCAGACTCTCCCTGGAAGAAGGGCACGACAGCTGCCTGCCCAGCGGAACGTGGGGAGCGACTGGCCCTTCTGTGCGGGACGGCCACTCCCTCAGGGATCCCCCACGGCCTGTGCGGAAGGACCCGACTCCCCTGCTCCGAGTGGGGCGAGCCCCAAGCGTCCCCCTTCCCACGAGTGTCCTCTCCCCTGTCCCCCTCTGGCCCGGCTCGGCTCGGCTCGGCTCGGCTCGTGAGGTGGCCTGGGAGGAGCGCTCGTTCCCAGGCCCGGGTCCATCTCTGGCTCGGCCCCAGGCCGGGAAACCGTGGCTGCCAGCTTCCTGCAGCTGCAGCCGAGCCCCAGGGGCCTGGAAGGAATACGGAGCGGGGCGTCCGCGAGCGCACCCGGGCTGGGTTTCCTTCCTCGCGCCGCCTCTTGAGGGAGGCGTTTCCCCCTGAGCTTCTTCCCCTTGATTCTCTTCCTTTCCGCTGCCCCCCAGGTGCTCCGCCAGTGTCGGCCAGCCGCAGCTGCCCCCGCACCTGCCGCCCAACCATGGCGCTAACATGGGGCAACACAGCAAAGGCTATTACCCCCCGGGGTAAGTGCAGCCCCCGAGGCCCGGGGCATCGGACGCCCGCTCGGCAGTGCATGCATGCGGGGGGCAGCCAGGCAGGCAGGCAGGCGGGGTGGAACAGGCCCTCCTGGACCCCAGCAGATTAGCCCCCAGTTGGTATACTGGGGAGGGGGGTGAGGTGCCCAGCGCTGGAGCCCAGGGCCCCGCAGAAGTTAGTGGCCGGGTGGCGTGTCCCCCAGCTGCGAGCCCGCTGCTCCTTTGCCTGGAGCGACTGGCTTGAAGTCACCACCTGCTGCACCTTTCTTGAACGCCACCCCATGGAACAAGGGCACCAGGGCTCCATGATCTCCCCCCGTTCTGGCACTGGGCCCTGCCGCCCCTTCGCAGGAGCTACGCCCCGGTCCGCCCTGGCTGCCCCCGCCCCCCGCGCTCTGGTTCGCTCACCACGCCTCCTCTTGCTGCCGCCCTCCCCCCCGCCAGGAACCTGCCCCCCCGCCCCTTGCATGGGAAGCTGGAGGTCATCCACGCCTGCGTCCAGGCCCTGCTGCGGGACCAGGGGCAGCCCCAGCTCTGGGAGCAGCTGGGCGAAGTCTATGAGTCCGAGCAGAACTCCGAGGAGGCCATGCGCTGCTACCAGAACGCGGCCCGCTACCAGCGCGACTACGGCGGCTACGAGGAGATGCACGCCCGGATCGGGCGCCTGCAGCAGGTGCGCGGGTGCAGCGGAGCCGGGCGCGAGCGGGGGAGGGCCGGTGGGGGAAGCTCGGGGGGCTGCATGGGGATGGAATTGGTCGTGGGGAGGGGGTGGGGGCCGGGGGGCAGCCTGAGGTTCCCTGGGGCCCACCCAGCTCTCACCCCACCTTTCCACTCTCCCTTTCCAGGCTCAGCTGTGGAATTTCCATTCTGGGTCGTCTCATCACCGAGCCAAAGGGTTGCTACCTCCGCTTCAGCAAGTCTGGAACCTCCTGCACCTCGAGGTGGGTCCCCCCCCCCCATCACCCCCTGCCCAGCCCAGAGGGCAGAGCACGGGCACCTGCGTCCCCTTTGCCATCGCAGCCACGGGCCTGCTCCGCTCTGCTCCCTTCTTGTGGAGCCTTGGGCCAGGGCAGGCCCTGCGCCCGCCCCGACTCGCGCTTCTCCGGGGAGCATCTTCCCTCGGCTCAGTGGAGACCCTTCTGTCTCCGCCTCCCTCACCCAGGCGCCACAGCGGTTGTCGTTCAGTCCTGAGCCATCGTCCCCGCCCAGCGAGGGGCCCACAGATGCTGCCCCAGCTCTCCCTACACGTGCTGGCTACAAAGCGCAACTCCATCTCGATAGCGGGAGCATGCGTCTTTTATAACGCAGTTGGCTGATCAACACCCAGCCGCACAAATATCTATGTTTCCTGTACACTCAAATAGTAAACATATTGCTGTTTTCTGGTGCACACCTCAAAATGTCACACAATGTAGGTTTTGCCCAGTAAGGTGCGTATTGGAGTAGTTATTTTTGTCAACGAGGGAGCAGTGGCCAGTTTCTGAGTGGGGGGTGCCTTGGTACGCGGAAGACCCCCTTTGGGGCAGAGGTGGAGGGGCTTGGCTTCCCCCGTTGTGTGGCCCATGGGAGTCAACTCCATGGGATTCGGACACCGACGTCTGACTGCCATGGGTTCAGCTTGTTCAGGGCACCGTTGGGTCGCGGGATGCGGCCTGAAATGCAACTGTCTCGCTGCTGCTGCTGCTGAGGCGCGAGCGACTCTCGTCGTGGTTTCCCACGGCCCTGGGGTCTAACCTGCCCGATCTTCTGCCTGCTCCAATCAATTAATGCAGATAAGATACGGATCCTGTGCGGGGCTGTGCACATGACAGACAGCTAATCGACTCGGGAGCCTCGTTATGTCCTCACTGGCTTGCCGGGGCTGCGGGGGCTGTCCTGCAGCCGCCCGGTCCCAGGCCTTCCACCGCATGTGCCGCTGCCCCCTCGTCGCACCCCGTGGGCCTGGGGGCCAGAGGCCCGGCAAGCAGCCCCGGCAACTGTTTCCCTCTCGCTCCTCCTCCAGAAGAGGAACTTCTCGGCCAAGCGCAACCCCCAGCTGAAGCGGCCCGGCCCACCGATGGAGCCCCCCGTGGTCCAGCCCATCCCCCCCGTCCAGCACCCGCCCCACCCAGGGCACGGCGAGGAGCTGCCCGCCCCCATGAAGCGACGGAGGAGCACCAGCCCTGACCAGGTACCAGGGGGCTGCGTGGAAACGGCCGAGGGGCCTGGCAGCGGTGGAGGTGATGCCCCCACTTGGTGGCCGGCCTGTCCCTTTCCTCTCTCATGCCCGTCGCTTGTGCTTCATGCTTGGCGCCTCGCGCTCCCTCGAGGGCTTCTGAGGGCACGCGCCCTCCATGCTTCGTCCTGCCGCGTGGGGCCCGGCGGCTCGCTTGCAGGGCCGCGTGGAGCCGTGGCCAGCCTCGCTTCGACTGCATGGAGCCTGGCTCGGGGAGCCCTGCGGCCGGCTCCCCAAGGGGAGGTCCATCTTGCTCGGGCGCTTGTGGGGAGAGGCCGGAGTTGGAGTTGGGGGCAGAGTGCGTGCTTCGAGGGGGTGCTCGGGAAGGCGGGGCGCGCTGACGGTGTCTCTCTGTCTTGCCCTTTCTGCGGCCCTCTACCCTGGAGCAGAGTGGGAATGGGGTCAGCCAGCATCTCCCCGGGCTGGGCCTCCTGGGCACCCCCCACTACCAGCTGCCTAAGCCGGGATTGTGGAACCCGCTCCACGGAGACTCATGGGGGCAGGAGCGCAAGAACGTGGCTGCCCCAGAGAGACAAGTAAGGCTGCCCCCAGCCCATGGGTCCAGCGTGCGAGGTGGGAGGCGGCGGGGGTCACAGGTTGCCCCCAGGGCTCTGAAGGGCTTCTTGCAGGGAGTGCATGCAGCCTGAGGAGGGGCTTGACCCCGCGCACTCACGAAACCGTGGGTCGCACGTTTCCCGCTCCCGTGACCTCGAACTCAGAAAGGCTGTGAGTTCGGGGCTGCCTGCTTGCCTGGGCAGCGTCTGGGGCCCGCTCTGCTTCCGCCGTGCGCTTGGCTTGCAGCTGCGAAAGGGGGAAGCGGGCCGCTCCAGCAGTCCTGCAGAATGGGGCCGGGGCCGGGGGGCTCCCGGGAATGGATCTCCAGCCTCGGAGGTCGTCCGGACTGCAACCGCCCATCGGCCGCAGCCATCACGGGCCGTGGCTGCCGATGATGGGAGGTGTGCTCCGGAGGGCACCCGCTCGGGGGAGGCCGCTGTGGAGCCCCCCAGACACCTTCGCAAGTGTGTGCCCAGGTCTTACCTGCTGGTCGCACGGGAGGAATCACGCTCGCTCTCAGGGCAAAGGGCCGATTCGGGTGTCAGCGCGGGGAGGGCCAAAGGATGCTCCCAGGTAAAAGGTGTTCTCTTCCTCTCCCCCCCCCAGGAGCAGAGGAACTCGGTGGCTCACCCCTTCCCGTACCCGTCCCCCGCTTACGGATCCCACCCGCCCCCGCACCGCCCCCCGGCCGTCGCGCCCAGTCCCCGCACGCCGCCGGCTCACCGCCCGCCCCTGGAGAGCCACGGCTGCCTGGCCCGGCCCAACGGAAGTGACCTTAGAGACGGCCGAGCCGCCCGGGCGCGCCCAGAACCCACCGCCACACCAGCAACTGTTGCCTGCGTGCCTTACGCCCCGCGCCCGGCCCCGGCCCCGGCCCCGGCAGGGCCCCCCGCCACCAGCAAGAGCACCTCGCGGGGGCAGCCGGCCCCGGACAGCCTTGTGAGTGGGGCGGGCGCGGGGGCCGTGGGCGGGGGGGGACCTGGCCGTCCCCAGCGAGCACCGGGGAGGGGGGTGAGGCCCCGGGGTGGCCCGTCGGGGTGCCAGCTGAGCCGGGCCCGTCGTGGGGGACCGGGCGGCTGCGGCCACCCCCTGACCGCCTCTCTCCCTGTCCGCCCCACAGGGTCCTGACCAGTACCAAACACCGGCCTTGGAGCAGCCCAGCCCCACGGCAGAGAGCGGGGAGGGCAAGCCAGCCCCACTGCCCCGGCCAGCGCCCTCCTGCCTCGCCCCCCGCCCCCCGCCCTGCTCCCGCCTGCCCCCACCCCTGGCCATCACCAGGGCGCCCGCACCAGCGGTCACACTGCCCCCGCCTGCCCCACAGTGCCCGCCCCCTCCCCCGCCGCCCCCGCCCCCGCCTCTGCCATGGCTGAAAGGCGCCGCGTTCAGTGGCAAAGCGGGGGAGGGGAAGGCCAGCGGGGACCCCCTGGGAGAGCTCCTGTTCGCGTGCGGCGAGCCCCACCGGGGGGAGCCCCCCGCGACCGCCCCCCCCCCCCGCTCGGCCAGCCCTGAGCCCACCCCCGCCCCCGAGTTCTGGCTGCAGGAGAGCGGCCGGGAGGAGAAGGGCCCGGTCGGCCCCGGGGCCCTGGCGCCGAGCCCCACCGTTGCCTCAGGAACCTTCCGGTCCCCAGAGAGCCCCCCCCCCCCCCCCCCCCCCCCCCCCCCCCCCGCCCCCCTACCCAAAACCCCCGGCCCCGCCGGCGGCGCCCCCCGCCACGGAGGCCGCCCCCGACCGCCTCTTCGGCTTTGCCAGCCCCCCCCTCGAAGACCAGTTCGAGGAGCCCTCCGAGTTCTCCAAGATCCTGCCCGACGGGCTGGCGAACATCATGAAGATGCTGGATGAGTCGATCCGGCGGGGGGAGGAGGAGCGCGAGGAGAGCTTCCCCCCGCCGCCCCCGCCCGCCCCACTGCTCCCCAGCCCCCCGCCCCTGGCCAGGCCCAAGCCGCCCCCGGCCTCCACCGGCTCCTTCGACTTCCCCAAGCCGCCCGGCCAGGAGCCCCCGGAGCCACCCTGCCTGTACCGGTTCGGCAAGCGGGACGCGGAGGAGCGCCCCCCACCAGCGGCCCCTGCCACCGCTGCCCCTGGGGGGGGCGGCAAGTCCCCCCCCCAGCAGCACCACCTCCCTGCTGAAGTCTCTGGCCAGCGTGCTGGAGGGGCAGAAGCACTCCTACCGGCCCAAGCCTCTGCCCCCACCGGGAGCGAAGCCCCCTGCCCCGGGCGGCCCGGGCGCCCTGGCCCACTTCTCTACCTCAAGCCGAGCCTGGGCCGGAGGGGCCGGGGCGCTGGGGGAGCGCGTGGCCACCCCCCCGCCCCCGCCCGCCCCGCGGCCCGTCAAGAGCGCCTCGGAGGTCCTGGAGGAGATCAGCCGTGCCTGCGAGACCCTGGTGGAGCGGGCCGAGCGGGAGAGGAGCCCGCCCCCCCCACCCCCGGGGGCCCCCCCCCCGGCCCCGCCCCAGCCCCCCAGCCCACCCCCGCCGCCCCCTCCTGCGCCCACGTCGCCCCCGCCCGCGCCCCCCGCCCCGCGGCCCAAGGACGAGTCCCGCAAGCGGGACCGCGAGCACCGCCGGCACCGCCGCTCCGGCAAGGACGGCTCCCGGCGGCACCGCGACGGCAAGGCCCACAAGGAGAAGAACCGGCAGATCCTGGGCAGCCTCGACGTGCAGAGCAGCGAGACCCAGGCCCGCGAGAACGGGGCCAAGCCCCCGCCCCCGCCCCCCGCGGCCCCCCAGCCCGAGCGCAAGCCCCCCGGGAAGAAGGAGGAGGGCTCGGCTGGGGGCGGCCCCGCCGTTGTGTGCTCGGCCGACCTGCTCAAGCTCCGCTCCTTCACGGAAGGGCCGCCGAAGGAGCTGAAGATCCGCCTGATCAAGGTCGAGAGCGGCGACAAGGAGACCTTCATTGCCTCCGAGGTGGAGGAGTGGCGCATCCCGCTGCGAGAGCTCACCATCAGCCACTCGGCCGCGGAGGTCGTGCGGGCCTGCAAGTGAGTGCCCCGCGGGGCGGTTGCGGGGCCCCGGAAGCGGCCTTGGCCCCGCTGCCCTCTCGGCCCACGCCTGCCTCCTCCGCCCGTGCCCCACGCGCGTGCACTGGCGTTGCTGGGGTGGGCGTCTGCGGGGAGGGAGGGCTCTGGGGATGATTTAGAGGAGGGCTGGAGTCAAGGGGCGCTCCCAGGGGACACGTGGCCCCCGGCGCGCAAGCCGTGGCTCGTGGCCCGGGGAAGGAGGGCGAGGAGGAGACGGCGTTGAGTCGCCGCACTCGCTTCCCCCGCGGCGAGAGGCACGCCAGGCCCCGGCGTGCGCGTGCTTCAAGAGCGCACATGCGTGCAGCCTCGGCCCGCCCGGGCCGCTCCCGCGGGAAGAGCTTCGTGTGGTCCCCCCGTTCTCCCCAGCCCCGTTTTCGGCTCACTCATCTTGGGGCGCAGTGAGCTGCTGGCTGCCTGTTAGGGCGGAGCGTGGCAGAAAGCCACAATGAGGCCACGGGCAAAGGGTGTCAGGCTGGGGGGTCCGGCCCGAGGGGGCACCCCCTGCCCCCTCGGGCTCAAACCCCAGATGCCCTTCCCAGGCTCCGCAGCAGCGGGTTGCCTTCCTGCCGTTTCGCATTTCCTGACAGTTTTGCTGGCTCATCGCCTGCGCCTCTGTTTCTGCCCGTCCTCTGCATTTAAAAACAAACCAGCCCCCCACTCGTCCACACGCGAGCCGGAAAGTGGCAAGAGAACTCAACTAAGAGAAGCTGGATTCCCCGAATTCGGAACATAAATTTCGCTCTCTCCGCTCTGCCACGGTGAAGTTACTTTGCTCGATTCGCAATGCTTCGGCTGCCCGGGGCCCTCCAGGCCTTTCCCGGAATTTTACCCAGCCGTCTCGCTGCCTCGTAACGTTTCACCGGGCCGTGCCCACACCTTCCCAGGCATCTCTTAGCGGCACAGTGCTTCCTTTCTCAAAAAAGGAAAGTGCAGTGCCCAGGAAGTGCGATCCCTGGGGCTGCGGCCGCCTCTCCGCCCTCCTGAGGCACTGCATCGGAAATGAAGCCGGAGGCGCAAGCTGGTCTTGCGAGATTCGCTGGATCTCTCTCTCACCGCCAGTCTGGCAATGCGGCGGCATCTCCACCTTTTTTAGCTGGTTGCTTTCTAAAACCCGCTTCCGCATCTGAGGCGGCGGCCCAGGCTGGGCAGCGGGGGCATCGCGGGGTTCCCCACTGCCTGTACGGAAGCCCCTGCCTCTCCTTCTGGTTGGCTCGTTCTTGAACCCGCAAAGGATGTGGCCAACCGAAGGAGCACAGCCATCAGGCGAAGGAGGAAGGTATGGGGAATGTGGGTCCCGGGGACAGGCGGGGATGCTAGGAGAGTAGTGCTGGTGCAGACGGGCAGGTGCCAGGTCAAGGTGCGCTTGCCTGGAAGGGACGGAGCGGCGTCCTGCAGGCAAACGACGTGCGACCCACGCAGGTCTTTCCACCAAGTCCGGATGTGACCCTGGTCGCTTGCAGAGTGGTGGATTTTGGGGGTGGACGGGTGCATTCAAGGGCAGGAGGGGCGTGTGGGCGAGGAGCCAGGCCCTCCCCTCCCACAGCCCCTGGCCCTGCTCCCCCTTTCTGGTGCTTTGCCCTTGAAATCAGCCCTCCAGCTGCAGAAGGCTGCTGATCCAGACCCTCCCGGGGGCAGAGTCCTCTTGGAGCAAAGGTCGCGGGCACGCCGGAGCCTTGTGTGGAAAGTGCTTGAGCGCCTGCTGGGTGGAGGATGATAACGGGTGGCTTGCAAAAGGAAGCCTGCGGGAGTCGGCGCTGCGCATCGCTCTCTGCTTCTTTCATTTTGGAACCCGCCCCTGCCCGGGTTCTGTTTGTTTTCGCAAGGTGTCTGGGCAAGGGTCAGGCCTGGCAATGGATGTGGCGCCGCGACAAGGCAGAGGGACCTTGGCCAGAATAAGGGAGGCAGCGGGCTAGGCCTGGCCCCCGCCTTTGGACACCTGCACCCAGGACACGGAGGGCCACAGCTCCTGGGCTGCCACTCTCAGGATTTTCTCCTGTGGCCGAAATTGGGCGAGCGGCCCGCCTCTCTGGCGTAACCGGCGTGCCCGTCCCTTCCGTTCTTAGCCTTGCGCAAGCGGCCTTCCCCAAAAGCACGTGCTCACGCCAGGTCTCCCGGGACAGGTCTGACCCTGCAGAATGTGGGGTTTCCTGGACTCCCACCCCGCTGCGGGGACTCGCCAGTCTTAAACTCCCCTAGAAAGGGGGCACCTCTGCACCAGCCCCCTGGCTAACGGCCGCTCTCTGGTTCTTCTCTGTGTGCATCTCCCCGGCAGGAGCACCAAGGTGAAAGGGAAGTTCAAGGAGTCATACCTGTCGCCCACCCACTCGGTCAAGCCGCAGATCAAAGTGGACGAGAAGCTCCCCCGGGACAAACTCAGCCCCCCGACCCCGAGCATCTATGTAAGCACCTCCTTTGTGGCGGGGGGGGGATGGGGGCGGGGGAATGCTGAGCACAGCGCTTAGTGGCGGGGCTGGGCTGGGAGGCGGTTGCGAAAGGCCTGAAATGGGTGCTGTGCGCGAGGATTGCATGGGGCAGGGGTATGGGGTTTAAGGTGCGGAATGTGGGTTGCACTGGAATAGAAGCAGCAGCAAAGATTCTAGTCCTCATGGACGGAGAGACAGGTTTATAAATGTGTGACTCCAGATGCCGGAAGGGGGCAGAGCAGAGCTGCCCTGGGTACAAGGGGGCCTCCTTACAGCCGGGGGTCAGCAGATCGGCGACGTAGTAGGAGGCCAACAGTCGTGCTGTGCCCCTTCTTGGCGTGGTTCTCCTGAGCTCCGGGTGACACATGGTGCCTCTCCTCGGGTGGGTGGGGGCAGGAGCTCTATGGCTGACCTGGCCTTTAGCAAGAGCCCCGGGGGGGGGGGGCTGGGGGCTCCCGGGAGTGTGGGGCTGAATGCACCCTAGGGAGGCCCCTGCAAAGCTGCTGCTGCTGCACACAGAACATCCAGCCTCGTCCGTCGTGTTTCCCACTTCTTCCCCCAAACCGTCTCGCCCCCCAGTGATCCTCCACATCATCAGTCATTGTGCTCCTGCCCTGCTTTCTGGAGGGGGAGGGAATCTTCCAGACTTTCTGTCCCCAGTTCAAGCCACTGGCAGTTTTTTTTTTTTAAAAAGAGCCCTGTGTGGTTTCTGGAGGACCGGTGATCTCCAGTGCGCTTCCGGGGTCCCGGAGAGCAGCATCCCGGCAGCCACACCTGGAGGTGATACGCGCCTGCTCCCCTTTCCTCCTGCATTCCCTCGCAAGGGTCACACTGGTCTGTGGAGCTTCGGGAAGCCCTTTGGGCCATCCCCTCTCGCATGCCTCTGCCATGGCCAAATGTCTCTTCGCCATAGCTGAAGGCAGAGCGGATTTAAGAATAACAGCCCTTCCCCGTCACAGGGCAAAAGCCCGTTTTTAAGATCTTGCGGCCGTCGACCCGGTTCTGGCTGCAATCTTGCTCAAAAATCCTCCCTGCCACACAACTCTCCTGGTGCTGATTCACGCCATCCGATAGTCTCCGATTCACGGGGACCCTCGACCTCCCTGCCCAGCTCTTGCAGAACCGAGGCTGCTGGCTTCCCCGTCAAAGCCCACCCCTCTCCCGGTGGCTCTTCCTCCTCTTCCTGCCTCCGTCTTTCCCCAGCCAGATGGTCTTCTCCGGGGAAAGTTCTGGCTTGGTTTGATCCAGGAGCCACCCGTTCGTCTTTGCAAGGCTCCTCGGCAGCGCCACGTGTGGCACGCGCCCATTTCTTCCTGCTAGTCGTCTTCACCGTCGTGGGGAACACGGGAGTGTGGGTGGGCCGGGCCACGGCCTCCCGTGAAATGGGGGGGGGGGTTCTTGCTCTGTTGCTGCCGCTCTCCCCGGTCTCGGTCTTCTTCCGATTCCTTGACTTGGGCCTCTCCTCGAGCTGATGACTGAGCCGCGGGATGCAGAACCTTCTGCAGCTGTTCCCTGAGGTCCGTTCCTCGGCCGCTTTGGATGACGCATCCTTTGCCTAAGAAGCAGAAATGCGATTCAGGAGACAGACTGGATGGTGGGGCGCGGCAGGCACAGTGGTCTGCGTTGAGGGGCCGCACAAAGAACCGCGGCACAGCCGGCTCGGCCACGACACACACCGACGAGATCTGAAGATGCCTGCCGGCCGCACGCGGAGCACGAGTCGGCCACGTGAGCTGCGGCGGCTGCAAAAACCCTGCATTTATTTTTGGCTGCGAGGGGTGATATCCCCCACATAATGCAAGCAGAGGGCTGGACAGCAAAGGCTTGCCTTCTGCTTCCTGGGAAGGAAGGCTGGATCTGACACGTTTTGCGTCGCAGGAAGGCAGATTTTGGTTGAACGTTGGACGACGCTCCTTGATTCGCTTTTAAGATCCCTTCCGGAGAGAAGCCATCCAGCAGCCCGTGCGGTGCCAAGCGCTCAGCTGGGGAGGCTCCTGCGTGGGCTCGCTGCACCCCTGGCCAGGGGCCGGATTAGACCTTTCCGGCTGCCAGACGGTGGCAGCCGCTGCGCTTTTCTGGCTCCGCTGGTCCTCACCGTCGTCCCACGCTCTGCACCACCCGTTCCGTGGCTTTCATCCTCGGCCAGCAACTCCAGGCTGAGCCGTGGCTGGCAAAAGGCTCCCCTCCTTCCGAAACCTGACGCATCGCTTCGCTTTTCGAAGAGCAGAGACGACGTTTCCCTCGCTTGGTTCCTCCTCCTGAACTCTGGGATGGACGCTGCCTGGGTTTGCACGGGCCCACGTTCGCGTCTTCCGCATTCGTAAAGGCGACTGAGCACGCCCCGGGGACGGGCTGTGCTCCTTGTCTGAGGAGTCTTCTGTCTACAGCGACTGCTTCGCGTGCTCCCCCATATAATGGGAAGGCTGTTGGGACGTCTCGGTATCTGGCCCGACGCCTCAAGATAATGGCCGTTTGTTCCTCTGTGGGACCCTTCAGTCCGCAAGTGGCCGAGTTCCCTGTGTTCTGGGGCGGCCTGTTTGCCGCAGCCGCCCACGTCCTTCGGCCTGCCCCACGCTCCCCTCATCTCCTCCGCGGCTACGCCGTCCCGGGCTGGCGACAGCCGGGCCTTGGCCGGCGTCCGCCTTCGGTGCAGTTGCTGCAAACGGCTTGGTCGCAGCACGGCAGCAGCGCCTCTCCTTGAAGGCTCTGGAGAGAGCCGGTGGGGGGGCGTCCCCCCTCCCAAAAGGGCCTTCCCCTGCAGCAGGCAGGCGGGAGGTTCGGGGCATCAGAGGGAGTCCCCTTCGCACCGCACGGCATTGACCTGTGGGACCTGCTGCCACGGGAAGCGGTGAAGGCCACCAGCTGGCTCTGACAGGCGGCTGGATGGGGTCGTGGAGGCGGAGGCCCCCCGTGGCCACTAGCCACGCTGGCTGTGTGCTGTCCGAGGAGCCAGGCGGGGAACTCGGGTGGAAGGGGACGGCTCCTTGGGCAGCTGGTGGGCCAGGTGAGGCCTGCCTGACCTGACCGGGCTTGTCTTCGGTTCTGGAAGCCGGGAAGATCTCTGGGCGCCGCCTCTTCGGGCCACCGGGTGCTGGCAGGAGCCCCCGTGGCCTCCCAGGACCCGGCAGTGCGCCCAGCCCCACGCCCAGGCGTGTTCCCCCAGAGCAGAACATCCGGGCTTGGCCCACCGTCTCGGGGCCAAGCGGAACGCTGCCCTCGGCACCGCCCGTGCCCCGTGCCTCGTCAGGGTGGGCCTTCCTACCCGGGGTGTTGCGCGGAGCCCCATCATTCTGTGTGGGCGGGTCGTGGGCACTTCTGCTGCGCCCCCAGCAAGGCTTCCCAGCATTTCCACCCACTCTGCTTGTGGGGCCGGAGACCTCCAGCACGGGAAGAGATCGCGAACCATTTCCCCTTTCCCCTCCTTCAATTCGTCCTCGGGAGTTTCTTTGTTTTCTTTTTACCTTCTTTGTGTGTACTTCCTCCACTTCCCTCCAGTGTGCCCTGCCCAGTTCCCCCACCTCCTCCTCCTCCTCTTCCTCCCCCCCCCCCAGCCCGCTCGGCTAGGCACCTGGCGGAGCGCCGCCTCTGCTTCTGAGATCCGGGTCTCGCTTCTGCTGGGAACCAGCGCAAAGCTGGAGCCCCGAATGCCCGGCTTGGGTCCGTGGAGCGTTCCGCTTCCTTTTGTTCCTGAGGCGCGAAACGCTGCTCCTCCAAGGCATTCCTCACGGGAGCTTCACCCCGTCCCCTTCTCGGCCCACTTCCACAGCACTTTGCGATGGCGGCTCCCCAGCCCCCCGTGCTCTGAGCCTGGCCCCCGGCGTCATTTTCGCCTCCCCTCCTTTGCGAGCGAGCTGCTGTTTGGCTGCGTCTTGCACTCTGTCGGACACAGACATCTTTCCCTGCCTCCGTGTCGTGGGATGCCTCGGCCTGACCAGTTCAGCCTTCTGGAACTGGTGTGGAAACATCTCCCCCCAGCCAGCGTGGCTTCTTTGCCCGTTTGGAAAGGGCAAAGAAGAAAGAATTTCCCGGCAGGAAGAATTTTCCGGGGAAGGGTCTCCTGGGCACGGCCTTCCCTCGTGTCGCCTGTGCTGGCGCGGCGTGTGAACGATCTGGCAGGGTCCCGTGCCTGCACGAAGCACGAACCCCATGATCCGCAGGTGCGGATCTGAGCCCACTCGGTGGGGAGGGATCTTTTCTGGGCCCGGGGGAGTCCTGCTGGGTGCGAGGCAGGCTGCAGAGGGGAACTGGGAATGCTGGGTGAAGCCCTCTCGTCTTGGCATGGTGGGGGAGGCGGGCCAGGCCTCGTGGCTGCAGTGGGGGGACTCCAGCCTCATCGGGGCTGGTCAGCCTTTCCCCGGCACGGCGCCCTCGAGCTGTGCCGGACTGCGGCTCCCGGGGCAGCTGGCCGAAGACGCTGGGGTGCAGCCCGGCACATCCCGAGGGCGCCGTGCCGAGGAAAGGCTGCGGTCAGCGCTCAGGTGCCGGGTGGGTGCCGCTCTGAGGATGGGGCTGGGTGGCGGGGAGACGAGGGGTCCTCGTGGCGCTGACGGGCCTCTCACTTTCTGCAGCTGGAGAGCAAACGGGACGCTTTCTCGCCGGTGCTGCTGCAGTTCTGCACCGACCCCAAGAACCCCATCACCGTCATCCGGGGCTTGGCCGGATCGCTCCGCCTCAGTAAGTGCTTATTCCTTATCAGCGCCTCGCGGGGAGAAGGTGTGGGGAGGCTGAGCAAGTCTGCAGAGGAGGCAGGATCGCCTGGGGTGGCTGATAGCCTTAGAAGGCAGGAGCAAAATTCAGAAGGCTCCCGGCAGATTAGAAGGCCCAGCAGAAAATAATGGCTCCCGTGACAAAAAGCACAGCAGCCCTCCAGCCACAAAGAGAGGTCAGCTGCGCAGGTGCCAGGTGTGGGTGCCGGGCTGGCCAGGTGCCGGTGAAAAGGGGCACGGGGAGATGGGGGGTCACGAGCAGAATATGAGTCCCCGCAGGGCACGGCTGCAAAGCGGGAGCTGCGGGTTTTGGCTCCCAGAGACCTACCCTGTCCAAAGCCCCCTCCGCTTCACCTCGGATCCTGTGGCCGGTTCTGGATCCCGCCCGGTGCGCGCTAAAGTTTCAGATGAGCTGGAAGGAGTTCGGGGAAGGGCAGCAAGGGGGATTGGGGCCTAGAAGCAAAGTCCTGCGGGGAAGGAGGGGAACAACGTGGGCGTGCTTAGGCCCAGTGGGAGGAGATGGCGGCAGGTGATGCCGGCGCTTCCTGAGGGCTGCCCCGCAGAATAGGGAAGGCGCTGCTTCTCCCGCCCGAGGCCGGGGGAGACCCCGCTGGTCTGGGCAGGGGCGTTTAGGGGAGCATCGGGGAGACTTCCCAGCGCTCAGAGCAGAGCCGCCGGGCTTCCCGTCGCCAGAGGCTTTCCGGCAGAGTCAGCGCGGCCGTCGGTCAGGTGCTTCGCGCGGTCCCTGCGCTGGGCTGGGGTTGACGTGGCGGCCTCCACGGATGGTGGCAGCGTCGCGGTTCTGTGGCCCAGAGACTCTGGAGCCAGCAAGAGTCGAGGGAGGACGTGAAGCTCCGTGGGAAGTGGGGTGGAACTGGCTTCTTTCAGAATGTGCGTGATTAAGGGGCGCCTGAGCAGCCGGGACGGGGCAGAGGCAGAGGCAGGGGAGAAGCGGCCCGGGAGGATGGGGGCCAGCCCAACAGAGGGGATGTGCCGCCTTGCCTGCCCCACCAGCTGTGGGGCGACCCAGGGCCCTCTCGGCTCCCCGTCCAGACACGTGTCTCTCCTCCCCCATCAGACCTGGGCCTCTTCAGCACCAAGACCCTCGTGGAGGCGAGCGGTGAGCACGCGGTGGAGGTGCGCACGCAGGTGCAGCAGCCCTCGGACGAGAACTGGGACCTGTCGGGGGCCAAGCAAGTCTGGCCCTGCGAGAGCAGCCGGTCGTACACCACCATCGCCAAGTACGCCCAGTACCAGGCCGCCTCCTTCCAGGAGTCCCTTCAGGTGAGGGGCCCAGCTCCATGCGCGGCCAGGCGGCCTCCCTGCTGAGCCAGGCGCCTGGGGGAGAGCACGTGATTCGGGGGGCGGGCGGGGGTGCTCCACCCAGGGGCGATGGGTGCAAAGAGGGCCCCCATTGCCACCTTTCCCCTCTGTCGAGGCAGGAAGACAAGGAAACGGATGACGAGGAAGCCGACGAACCAGACAGCACCACAGAAACGCCTCCCAGGTAGAACCCCCCCTCCCCGCCGTGGCGCTTGCACCGTGCGCGCTCTTCCGACTGCAGCCATCGCTCTGATGGCTTTTATTCCTTATCATGCGCCTCTCCAGGGGTTTGGCTGAAAAGCACCGTATGTCGTGCTAAAGGGAGGAAATATTCTTTTTATTTGATTCACCGCCTTCGTATCTCTCTCTATAGCTGGGCAGGTTTAGGAGCAAAAATCTTAAAACAGAGAACAAAAATAGTTTGGTGAAAACAAGGGAGGCTTAAAACCACGCCTGGTCAGCAAGGAAGACTTCCTCTCAGGAGGGAGGGAATGCGCGCCCTCCACACTGGGGGCTGCATGTAGAAACAGCCGGGTATCCCCCAGTCCCCCTGTGGCTAAGGGAAGGGCTGTCTTGGGCATGCAGTCCCCAGTACTGGCCCTGAAACGTTACACTCGGCCCAGTGGGGAATTCCCAGGCGGTGCTTCCTCCTTGCTGCTTGGCCGTGATTAAGGTGCTGGTGCTCTTGAGGTGGGGGCACGGGGGCACCACACTCTCTTCCCCCTCCCCGCACAACCATGGCGAAATGCCTGCAGTCTTTGGAGGAGAAAGACGGAGCCGTGTCTCACGGGAGAGCTTGCACGGTTTGGGGGTGGGGTGGGGGTCAGGATTGCAAAGTTAATATTCAGACGTGGGGGCAGGAGGGGCAGGAGGGGCACGTTGGCACCTCTGCCTCCTCTTCCCCAGCGTTCTGCATCTCACATCCTAATATTTTCTTTTCTGCTCTTCCTAGCAATCCCGACCAGAAGCCGCACCAGATTATCAAGTTTGGGACCAATATCGACCTCTCCGATGCCAAGCGGTGAGAATGGCGGGACGGGAGGGCGGCAGGCCACAGCCCCGGGCCCCTGCCCCGTCTCCTGTGCTGCAGGAGAACGAAAGGGGCGCCTGCTTTTCTGCTTTCCCCCTGTGAAGCTGCTGCTTGGATTGCTTCTGCTGCCCCCCCAAATGGTTTGCCTGAAAGGCTTCTAGTGGCTCTGAGAAAACGGGGGACTGAGGGAAGGTGAACCCCAGTCCTGGCCTCTCGGTGGCTCTCTGCCGCCGCTTTGTGGCCGTACTGGGCACTGCAGGGAAGCGGCACTCAGCGTCGCCCCCTTGCGGCCACACAGAGGCGTTCCCGCAGAATGTTCTAGGCTGCTTCTTTGTGGTCGCTTTGGCCCTTGCAAGGGAATAAGAGCGTGCTGCCCCCAAGTGGCCGGGATGTATCATTGCAGCTTTCCCTTGCCCCCTGCAGGTGAACGTTTGCCATTGCAAGCGGGGATTGCAGGTGGGGGGGACAGAATCGCCCCTTGCTGCCCCTCCATGGCCATGGTTGGCATTGCAAACACGATGACGTTCCGGAACCGTCCCAAGAGTGGCCCTTCTCTCCGAAGGGCGCCTCCTCTGTGACGCGGCTCTGTGCTGCCTCCTCATGCTCAAATTTTGACTCGGCACGGGAGAAGTGGCTTGACCCGCCGTGACCCACGGTGGCCCCTGGGGGGCAGCCAAGAGCCGTGCGATGTCAGGCAAGAACAGCCAGGTGCAGCAAAGCCAACAGGAGGATCTTCGAAATTTTAAAATCTTTAAAATTACATTCCATTGCTTCCCTGCCCGATCGCCAGTGCTTTCTGGGCAGTTCACAAAACCCGCTGCAGCAAAATAACTGTGTGTATATAAAACTATGATATTAAAAAGATAGAAAGGCCAAAGTAAACTGGAATGGCACCGATAGAGCCAGCATGGCGTAGCAGTTGGGAATGCGGGGTGGGAGATCCGGGTTGGAGTCCCTGCTCAGCCATGGAGGCAGCGGGGTGTGGGGGGGACTTTGGACCAGTCACAGCCTCCCTCACAGGGTGGTGGTTGTGAGGATAAGATTGAGAGGCATAGAAGCATGTAAGCCACCTGGAGTTCCTTGAAAGGAAACAAAGGTGGGATATAATTATCATAAAACAAAATAAATAAGATTTAAAACATGATAAAAGATTTAAACTTACAGAGGTGGAAAGACCAGTACACATGGGTGCTGCTGTGCATTGGTGCTAATACTAATTACTATTATTTATTTCACTAAATTAATATCTCCATTAACCAAATTCTCTGCATGGTTAACAACAGTTTTCCAATACCAACAAAATACAGTATGGAGACCATTAAAACAGCCTAAAACCCAGGATAACGTTAAAAATCGAACGATCAGCCATTTGAGCAATTCAGCGCACTCAGTATGTTCGGGGCTCTGGTGGGCAGGCCACACGCGCCATTAAATGCCCCACGCGGCATTGAGTGGCTTGGCCCCGAGGGCAGAGCTAAGCTGATGGGGGGAGGAGAACAGCGTTGGCACCGGGCAGGGCTCAGGAGCTGGTGCCATGACCGGGGTGGCTCTCCCTCGTTGCCACTGGGCCGGAGCAAATTTCTGGGTAAAACCGGCTGATTGGCACCACGGTGCCGGCAGGCGGCCGAAGCAGAGCCACGGGCCCGTGCCCGCTGAGCGAGTCCTCGTGCCACAGAAGCCGGGGCTCTGACCGAAAGGGTTTTTCCCCTGGTGAATGTTGTGAGTGCTGCAGGGAGCTTTTGGGTAAGTCGAGCAAAGATGCTCTTTGAGAGAAAGTTTTGTTCTCAAATGCAGGGTTTTTTTGTCATAGAACGCACCCGGCACCATTTTTTGACGGATTTTCCCAAGTGATTGTGAATCGCCTTGTTGGGCGTAGCAGGTCGGCAGCAAGAATCATTAACGTGGTGCCTGCAGGCTGCTTGTGTATCTGATTGTGAGGGCGCTGCTTGGCTTGGGATCGGTCGTGTGGTCGCGCGCTGAGTGCTTACTGCCTGCGGCGACCGTTGTGTAAAAGTGCGACCTCAAGACACGAGTTCCAGCACCCTTTTTATTTTTAACAAAAAAAGCACTGCTGAAATATTTTAAATATTTTCATTGAGGGTTTTTTGTATTCATTCTCATGGATTCTGTGACGACTCTCCAAACCGCAGGTGGCTTGTTTGGGTGTTTTGTTAGCATGACATGTGAGTAAACATGCAGGTATGGGGAAGAGTATATGGAAAGATTGGAGTGCAGAACGTGGATTGCTACTAATCCCAAAATTGCGGGAAGGGCTTAGAGGGGCATGCCTTTTTTGAAAGCCTCACCCCCGCCCTGCCCTGCAGATGGAAACCGCAGCTGCAGGAGCTGCTGAAGCTGCCGGCTTTCATGCGCGTCACGTCGACGGGGAACATGCTCAGCCACGTGGGCCACACCATCCTGGGCATGAACACGGTGCAGCTGTACATGAAGGTGCCCGGCAGCCGCACGCCAGGTACATGAAGGTGCCCGGCAGCCGCACGGCAGCCACGCCACGTGGGCTGCGCTGGGCCCGGTGACCGCGCCAGGGGCAGGGACCGCTTCTCTGCACTGGAGGGCTGGACCTACCTGGGGCCCCACCTGGCCTCCCCCGCTGACTGCAGGCCCCCGCAGCCACGGATGGGTGGGCGGCTTCCTGGCTCTCGCACCCTTCGTGCCCTGTCCTAGGCGGGGGAAAGCCTGCCGAAGACGGGGGGGTTGTGCTCCTGGCAGCGCGAGCTGACGCCCCCCCCCCCCCCCGCGGCTGGTATTTCTTGCCGCTTGTGCTCCCCACCCCAGCATCACCTGAGCTGAGTCCGGCCCTTGAGCTGAAAGGGCTCCAGGCACCCTCGTCCCACAGGAGCCTTCCAGAAACTCTCCTCCTGCCCACGCAGGGCTCTGTTCACGGGACTGATCCCCCCCCCCCCCCCGTTTGCAGGCCACCAGGAAAACAATAACTTCTGCTCTGTGAATATCAACATTGGGCCGGGGGATTGCGAATGGTTTGCGGTCCACGAACATTACTGGCAGAGCATCAGTGCCTTCTGTGACAGGTAGGCCGGGCAGCCCTCCCGTAGGCCCCGGGTCGGGGTGGGGGGCTTCCCCCTCGGCACAGACGAGGGGTCGGGGCCAAGGGCACCTGTGCCGTGCCGAGGTCTCTGCCGGGCGGCCGAGTCCCCGCTCGTGCCCGGCTGCCCTTCCTGCCGGCCGCTCCCTCTGGCACGGCTGTTCCGCTGGAGGGGCCGTGGCAGGGAACTCCCACGGGACTCCTGCCCGGGCTGATGAGCAGGCGGTGCGTGCCAGTTGGCCTTCCCGCCGCATCGCCCTGCTGCTTTTCCGCAGGCATGGTGTGGACTACCTGACTGGCTCATGGTGGCCCCTCCTGGAAGACCTTTACCAGTCCAACATCCCCGTGTACCGCTTCATCCAGCGCCCCGGAGACCTGGTGTGGATCAACGCCGGGACAGTGCACTGGGTCCAGGCCACCGGGTGGTGTAATAACATCGCCTGGAACGTCGGCCCGCTGACAGGTAAGGGAGCCGGGCCAAGATCCTGGGAGAGCGGGGGGCTCGGGGGCTTCCCAGGCCGGTGGCGAATTGTTCGGGGGCAGCATGCGGGTCTCCTAGGACAAAGACCACGCCGAAGCCTTTGGAAGCAGAATTTCACTCGGGTGTGGAGCTCACGAACCTCCTCCTTCCTTCCCCCCCGAAGGTGCCCTCTGTGCAGGGTGGGACAGGGGCATGCTGGGAGCTGTAGGCCTTTTGTCCTCCTCAGTCTGGCTGGGGTTGCACCCTTAGAAAAGTCCACTCAATCTTGGGGGCTGCTAGGAGACCCTGTGACAACATCCGGGGCTCGTCTGCGGCCAAACCGGCCTGTGAACGCAAAAGCCCCGCAGATTCCACGCTCGGTATTGAAACCGCCATGTCCTTGTGCTTTCTTCTTGGTGGGGGGCAGAAGTCACCCCACCCCGGATTTTAATTGAAGAAGCATAAGACACTCCTTCACTCCCCATTCTGAGAACGGGGGCCAGGTGGGCAGGAAAACAGCCTTTCCTCTAAGAACGGGTCTGTATCCCGGCCGTGTTTTGCTCACGGGAAGATTGGCAGACGGGGGCCGCTCTCCCCACCCAGCTGGTTGAAGTGAGGAGGGGAGAGCTCTGGAAGAGCTTCCGCCGCATTCCTCACCGTGGGGGGGGGGGCGTGCTTGCGTGAAGGGGGGGCTGCGGCAAAGTCCACCCTTCTTGCACCCGGGGCCGAGTTCTCCCATAGCCCAGCAAACGTCTCGGTGTCTCCGCACAGCTTATCAGTACCAGCTGGCGCTGGAGCGGTATGAGTGGAACGAGGTGAAGAATGTCAAGTCCATCGTGCCCATGATCCACGTCTCCTGGAACGTGGCCCGCACGGTCAAGATCAGCGACCCCGACTTGTACAAAATGATCAAGTGAGTCTCTCCAGGCCCCTCCGACTCGGGCCAGGCCTCGCGGGGCCCCTCCCTGCTTTCGGGCGACCCCGGCACACACACGCTCCCTTCTGCTTGGGGGAGAATCCAGGCGGCCATGGAGAAAGGCCCTGATTCTGGGTGCTGGAACTCTGTGGGGTGGACTCGCGTGGACACCGACTGCGCCCCATCTTTGGTGGGGGGCAGCCAGGCCTCCGGAGCCAGTAAGAGCTGCGCGATAGGCAGGAATGGGGTGGCCCTGTGGTGGTCTCAGGGAAAATGGGGAACTTAATCATATTTACCCACAGAAAGGAGTCACGTTAGGAGATGGTCTGTTTGGGGTGGCGGTTAATGTACCCTGGAGATGTTCCAGTGGAAAAAGAAGGAGAGAGAGAGCTGAGTGTATCGCAGTCACTCGGCCACACGGTTTGGCCATGCCTGGGATGGGGAGACGGGCGAAGCCTCCAGTTACTCAGCCGGGAAAAGCACCCTTATGGTTTTATAATTGGGTGGATTCGCAGGTTATGTTCATGCACCGCAAGGAAGGCTTCTCCCTTCTCCCCAGATGGTCCATGATCATTTTATCATCGAACAGATAATTTGTCTTTTTTGAATGAATTCAAAGTACTTACAGCCCATGGAACCTTCAGGATTAGTAAATTTATCACAACATAAATATTTGTGGACTGTGCTGAAATAGCATGCCATGAGAGTCTTGGCTGACGTTTCTGTAGCAGATTTAACTTGTCCACCCTTCTGGAACTTGTCAAAAGTATTCATGTACTGAGATCGGGGTTTACAAGAGCCTATCTCTGTAGAATGAGGGGGGAGATTCCAGGGATTACGCCTCTCCGTCACCCATACCTTGGCATGCGTCTCACTCCCGCCCCCGGCTCGTTTCTGCTGAGCTGACTGCCGGTCCCCCCCCCCACCCCAAGCGTCTGCGTGCGCTCGCGTATCCTGGGCCCGGCACTTCCTCCCCAGCCCTTTCCTCGCAGTGCTACCTCCCGGGGGGGGGGGTTGCCGAAGGGGTCCTGCTCAGAGGCGCATCCTGACCGCTTGCCCCTCCGCCCCGGCAGGTACTGTCTGATGCAGTCGATCAAGCACTGCCAGGTGCAGCGAGAGAACCTCGTGCGGTCCGGCAAGAAGATCGCCTACCAGGGCCGGGTGAAGGACGAGCCGGCGTACTACTGCAATGAATGTGACGTGAGTTTCCCAGGGGCTCTCCCGTGTCCCCACACGGCCAGCAGTCAGCCACTCTCTCTTTCTAGCTGGCAGCAGCCGTGTCCCCATGGCCGGCTCTGCCCCACAGAGTAACAGGGTCGGCAGTGCTGCCCGCGCCAAGGCGGAGCAGGGCCCGGCGTGCGGGGATGCTGTTGGTCAGAGCTGGGGCCGCGGGGCAGGTGGCGCCGCCCTGCGCGCTCTCCTGCTTTCCCCAGCTCACCTGCAGCCTCCCGGCAACCGGCCTCTGCACTTCTGTTCCCCGCCACACACCAGTCACGAAAAGGGGCCCACCTTAAGCACCTGGCGGAGGCTTTTGCTCGACCACTGGTGCGCCCAGTGTTAACACGAGGCCTAATTGTCTTTAAAATGCCTCCTGTCCCACCTCCAGTTGGGGAGTGTCGGATCTCCTTCACGCCCGACAACTCGGAGAAGCGGGGCTGTGAGAGAGTAGCGGGAGCCAAACTGTGAGTATAAACCGCGGGTTTTCCAAACCAGTGCAAGAGAGGGGCCAGTGGCCACCCCTGGAGAGGATGCAGGAAGCAGCTGTGGGCCCTGGCAGGATTCTTCTCCCAGAACCCCAAGCCCAAAATGGATGGTTGACACGGACAGAGGAGGACAAGGCGCCCTGTCTGAACCAGAGAGAAGATGCCAGGGCGACAGTGCAGTCGCCTCGCTCAGGAAGACCTGCGAATTGTGGGTGAAGGCTCTGGCACGGGAAGGAGGAAGCAGGGAGTTGGCGGAGCAACAGCCTGATGGACGGGCGAGGCAAATGCGGCATGACTAGGACAAGCCCGGGAGCGTGGAGCAGAGACGCAGCAGCGTAGAGGTGGACGGAAGAGTGGCACAGCCAAACCACAGAACGTGTCGTCCAGTTGCTTGGAAAGACAGGGAGATGGCAGAGCAGCGACACAGCCAGCTGAGGAGACAAGCAGTAATGGCGTGCCCGCTAGTGAGTGAGCAAGGAATAGCTTCCAGCCAGCCATCTGCATTGGAGAGTGCATTAGAGTTGATTGAACATTCCTGAAAGGCCTTGAAGAGCATCGGTGAGGATTCTTTCTTTCACCTGAGCCAGGGAGAAAGTAAGCAGATTCTTGCAGGACTAGGGGCAACGACTTGACGGAATCAAGAAAGCGGCATGGGCTAAAGCGTGACTCAGCTAGGCTGGAAAAGGACCAAGCCTCAGTTCTTGGCTAGGGAGACAGTGATGTGCAAGGGAGAGAGGCCTGTTTCTACTGAAAGGTCACTCCAGCGGCTGAGGGGATTAAAGGTCTGAAGTCCAGACAGGCTTCCAGACCGAGAGGCAAGCAAGAAGCCTTCTCTCCAAAGTTTCTTGCCACTGGGACTGGGCTGTCAGCCCCAGGCTCCGGTGGCGCTTTGTCCCAGCACCGAGTGCTCCTGAAAGTGACCCGGAACTGAGAAGCAAGGTCAAGAACATGCGACATGCTCTTCGTCCCTGGAGCAAGAGCTAGTGTAGATCTCTTTCTGCAAAATCCAGGAAGAGGCCCCCGCTGGGGTGGACGGACCCGAAGGCTGGGATTTGGTCTCCAGCCCAGAAGGTCTGGGCTGCCTTCGCTTCATGGCGGGGAAGCCAAGCTCGGGAACCGCCGGATGGATGTCGCCAGAGAAGAAATAAAGGCCTTCCCCCTGCCTCCGCATCTGTGCGGCTCTTCCGCCCGCTTCCCAGCCCCGTCGTGCGAAATCTGCGTGCGTTTGTAGGCTCTGCCGCGGGCTTCTCTTCTTCCGTGCCTGCGTGTAGCCGCTGAGCCGTCGTCGGTGGACACGCCAGGCAGACCGCGGCTGCAGCGACGACTGGAAACAGCCCCCGGCCCCCCGGCCCCCCGGCCGAGCCCGTGTGCAGCGGAGTCCTGCGAGGGCCAGCGAGAGGCTGAGCCCCCGGAAGGGTTTAGCTCAGCCATCCCTGACGGAGTACCCTCCCAATACAGGCAGGGGGATGCTGGGAGTCGTAATCCACCGCATCTGGAGGGTGCCGGGCTGGGGAAGGGGGCTGTACAGGAAGCTATTTCGTCCCATGGCATGAGATTTTGTAAAAAAAACACGTCTAGATTTTGCTTTTTTTTGGTTGTTGATTTGATCCCAGGAGTCAATGCTAAGCAAAGTGGGGTGTTGGGGTTTGGTTAAGGTCTGGAAAGTTCTAGCGTGGTTCCAAAACACGGACTATTTCCAGAAGATGCAGGTGGAGTAGGAAGGGGTTTGGTTTTAAGTCACGGGTGAGGACTGGAGCTCATGGCTCAGTTGCGCAGGCACCGCGAGAAGGGGGAAAACTTGGTTTAGGAGTGGCAGCTAGAGCCAGGCCGCCCGGTCAGCTGCGGGGGTGGCCTTCGTTCACCTGCGTTTCTTCCACCCTGACCCTGACCCGAACCCGAACCCTTCCCCGGCAAGGGAGCAAGCCGCACGGCAGGGACAAGCGCTGACGTCCGCCTGTTCCCCGCAGGTGGAGGTGTTCAACATTCTCTTTGTGACAAGCGAAAATGGCGGCAAGAACACCTACCTGGTGCACTGCGAGGCGTGTGCTCGCAAGCGGAGCGCGTCCCTGCATGGCGTCGTGGTGCTGGAACAGTACAAGACGGAGGAGCTGATCCACATATACGACAGCTTCACCCTGGTTAGTGCGTGGGGGGGGGCCCGGGGGGGGGGGGGGGGGGCCCTGCTGGGGGGAGCAGGGTCTGGTCTGTCCAGCCGCTGACCAGAGGGAGAGCGCAAGCGCGGAAGGGGGCAGCCCCTCCTGTCCCCGTTTCCCAGCGACCGGGGCACGCGGGCCGGATGGCGCTCATCCTGGAGGTGGCGTCCGAACAGGGAGCCGGGGGACCTTGTCCCCCTCCGCCAATTTGCCCAGTCCCTGTGTGGAGCCGTCCAAGCGGGCGGCCGCCGTGACGCTGGCGGACACGCGCTCCGTTGTTCCGCTGTGAGCCATGTGCAGAAGCCCTTCCTTGGTTTGGCCCCGAATCGCCCGCCCTCTGCCGCGTGGGAAGACCCCATCGGGGTCCCAGGTGCTGAGCGAGGGGAACAAGCTGCCCACGCTGCGCTTCCGCGCACCAGGCACAACCTCGCCTCCCGGGCTCTGCTGCTTCAGCCCCCCGGGCGCCCCCCACACGCCCAACTCCTCCGCAGGCTTTGCCCTCGCTAGTGAAAGGGGAACTTCCCGGACTCCCAGCTGCGGGAAGCAGGCAGCCCCTGCAAGACCCTTCCAGGCCGTTCCATCCCCTCCAAGAGGCGACTGGCCGTGACCCTCCGCCGTTCCCCGGATTTGTCCAAAGCGGGAGGGCTGAATGGGGTAGGAGCAAGAGCCTGGGACGCAGCCCCCCATCCACCTCTCCCCCCCCCCGCTCTCTCGCCAGTCTGCATCTCCGAGTTCAAGATGAGCCATACCGTGCCTGGACATGGATGTCTGGGCTCCTTCGCTCCAAGCTGGCCTCCCCCCGCTTGCCGTGAATGTGGTGGAGGGGGCGCTAGCCTGCCCCCCGTCCTCCGTCAGTAGCAGCTGAGCCTTCGATCGCCACCCGTTCACGGGACTCACGCCTGCCCTGAGCTGGGGCGACACGGGCCTGGTGCACCAGACGTTCCCCCCACGGACCCTTCTTAATTTATTCTTCAGAACGGACCTTCTTTTTCCCTCGGTGGTGCTGATTTTGTATTAAAAAAGGAAAAATAAACTGAATCAAAATGACCATGAGAACAGGAAGGGCAGCAAAATCGAGGGGAAAGACACGGCAGCCTCTCTGGACTTGACGGGAGCGTGTCTGTCTGCCCGTTTGGTGTCCGACTCCCACCGTGCCTGCTTCCCCTTGGACAAGGATCGGGGCCTTCAATGAACAGAGAAAAGAGGAGATCAGTGCATTTCCTTCTTCACAAGAGCATTAATTTTTGTCTCTCTCGCTGGGGAGGAGAACAAAGTGCGGACCGAGAGGTGGCTGTTAATTTGCGGTGTGTGGATTTGTGTTTTTTTTTCCTTTTAATTACATTTTTTCTTGTTGGAAATTTAAAAGAAAAAAGAAAGAGAGTTTGGAAAACAAAAACGCAAGCAAGCAAAAAAATTAATACGGGTTTCTTAACACAGGACTTTTATGGGTTCAGTTCTCTGGGGCGAACTTCTTGCTGGGAGGGGGGACAGTGTACATGGATTTATATATATTGGCGGGCGGGCCGGGGACAATTTGCGCGTGTGGTTTTTAATTATTCTGATGGACATTTGATTTCTTACATCCTTTTATATATTATATATATAAATATAAGAAAAAAATCTTGGTTTGTATTAGAAACTGCTTTTAAAAACAAAAACACAAAACGTTAAAAAAAACCGAGTCCAGTCGAGGTGGTTGTGCGACGCGCAGGATGGGCCCCGTGCAGCGGGTTGGAATGGCAAGCCCTGCGCGAAGGGAGTGGTGCTCGCCCCAGATCAGACACACGGGTAGGTGGGAAGCTTTTTCGTTTTGCAAGAAGGAGGACGGGGCTTATTTCTCCCTGCCCACTTCACCCCCCCCCCCGCCAGTTGGGCAGTGGGCAGTCTAACAAGGAGCCCCCTCCTCTGTTAAAGACCCTTAAGACTGCCCCATGAAGCTTCATCGTTGGCCAACAAAATCGTTCAGACCTCTGCCTTTGAACCTTTACTTTTCCTTGTGGAATCTGCCGCCCCTTCCTTCTGAAATGCAGCTTTGCAGTTCTCACTCCCACTGGGTTGAAAATATCAGCAAGAATAAATGTTCTCAGATTTGGGGTAATTTTTCTTTCCCCACTAACTTTTTAAATGTGTACCTCCATGCCTCAGAACTGTTTTGTAAACCCTCCCTCCCTCCCTCTTTCGCACTCTCTAATTTATATGTCTATTTTTGGTAATGATTTCTCTATTTATTGGTCCTTTATTGGGGTTTGATCCAACTTTTCCTTCATCTTGTTTTAAAAATAAATTTTACAATGTTGTTGTATCAGTTTTATTTTTTATTTTTTTAAGTATTTCTTTTTTGTTGTTCTTTTTTGGCTACTCGCTGGAATTTTTATTGAATTTCTAAATGTTTTATTTTTGTCTGTCAATGTTTTCCTTGACATGGTGCTCAGTTTTCTCACTGGGGGGTGGGGTGGGGAGGGAAAAATAAAGCTTGACCCTGTTTCATCTGTTGTTTTCCTCCTTTAACAGAACCTCACCCCACCTTGCATTGTAAAAATCTCTTCCTTCCGAAACTGCACTTTTTAATTCCCTGGTCCCACCCCCTTCTCTGAAAGCAACACACACACAAATGGATTCTTATTGTACTGTAGAGGACAAGAAGAAAGCAAAACTTATTTTGTAAATGTAAAAAAAAAAATTAAATTAACTCACAGAGATAAAAAAGAGTCACTCTGTTTTCCTTCCTTTCTGTATGTTGCAATGCCGGGAGTTCTATAGGGCATCTCTCTGCTCCGCTGCGCGCAGTGGGGCTTTCCTGTTTCTAGGGCTGGGAAACGTTCACTGAGGCGCAAGCCAAATGGGAAAGGCACGGGTCTTGGCCCATTTGGAAAACGGGGCCCCTGGGGGGGCGGCCGGCCGGCCGGGGGGGCAACGCGGGTCCTTCCCGGGGAGCTGGATCCGCAGGATCCCCGCCTTGGGGGCGCGCACCCGCCCACGGGGCCGAAGCTGCGGCGCTCCCGCGTGCGCCCCACTCATGCCAATGGCCGAGGCTGGCAAGGGCGTCCGCTAGCCGCGCCTCTGCGCAACGGGCTCCCGGCTGGGGGGCACTGCGCCCCACGCTTCCCACGCGCCCTCGTGTTCGCGGCCCCAGCGCGCCCGGGGCTCGGCTCGGCGCGGCCGCGCGGGAAGGAGGCGGGGGACGGCCGGGGAGGCATCCCTGGAATTCGCGCCCGGGGAGCCCCTTCGCGGGGGCGGCGCTCCCCGCTCCCCGGGGCGGAGGGGCCGGGCCGGCCGGGCCGGGGCGGAGGGCCGCGCGCCTATAAAGGGCGCGATGGGCCGGGGAGCGCGGCAGGCTGCGATGGGCGTGGAGGCGCGCTCGGCCACGGCTGCCCCGGGCGGCGAGAGCGGGCCGCGGGGCTCCCCGCCGCCGCCGCCGCCGCCGTACGCCGGGGAGGGCGCGCTGGAGCTGCGCGGCTCGCTCGACTGCTGGGCCTGCGCGGTCCTGGTCACGGTGCAGAACCTGCTGGTGGGGGGGCTCAACCTCCTGCTGGTGGCGGTCATCTTCGGGCTCATCCTGCTCCCCGCGGGCGTCCTGCTGGGGTTCGGCTTCCTGTGCCACTCCAAGGTAGGTGGATGGGTGCGCGACCCTCGCCCGGCCAGTTCGCGGGGGGCCGCGGGGCGCCCCTTCTGGCGTCGCCGCGGGGCTTAATTTCCCCGGGTTGGAAATGAACTGGGGTGCGCAGTTGCGCTCTTCCAGTGAGAGCAGGATCTTTTGGAAATGCGTATTATTAACATTCATATAATTTGAATGAGTGTGTTGGGGTGGGGGGGGGGGGAGGTTGCCAGGATTGGAGAGGAAAGCTGCAAGCGGGGGATGTGTTTTCGGAATCATTTGCCCGAAATCCGTTTTTCCTCGTGTAAGGCCTAGTCCTCGAAGCATGTCTTTTTTAAAGCAAGAAAAGATACTCTGCGCTGGCTCAGAGGTCCTCTCTTCCTGGAGCCTGAAAGCGAAGAGAATTTCCAGTTTAGGGGTGCCAGCCACGTGCAGCACTTCTCGGTTGGAGAAGTTGAGGAGCTTGGACTTAAATTCCAAGGTGGGGCTTCCGGATGGGTTTTTGCTCCCGGGCTGGCAAAAAGCGCTCCGCTCGCTCGGCCTTGAATGCAAAAAGTAACATGCGCAGCGATCCGCAGTTCAGGCCGCCTTCCTAGCCCTCCCTCAAAGCACAGCAGCAATCGCATTAGCCAGTCTGGGCTGGAGTGCCTCGTTAACACACAATTAACAAAGCAAATTAGTTTTCCTCCATTATTTAAACAAATTGCTAACTTTGAGGTGTGTCTGCTAGTTGGCAGATTCTTCTCTCAGTGTGCAGAATACCTTAGTCTCGACCCCTGCTGCACCCCTCCACCTGTAACATACCTGACACCTTTCAGTGTGCTGGCCACCCAGAGCAGCTCCTGCAAAATGCCCATTTTACAGGTAGGGCTGACTGGCGGCATGAGGCACCGTGCTCTCGAACACACGCACAGATTCTGGTGGGGGGGAGCGCAAGCCAGTCCATCAAGCCAGGAAGTATTTTGGGACTTCCAGGCATGGCCTTGGAGAGCAGCTTCTGAACTGGAGGCGCGAGGATGTACGAGTGCTTCCAGGCTGCGGGGGCTGCCCGCAGTTGCACGAGGGAGAGGAAACTACTCTGCACATGCTTAAGGACCGCACTCTGGCAGAGAGCTTCATGGCTTAGTGAGGCTGACACACAGTAAGAGATGGCTTTTAAGTGTATGCTTTAATTAAGAGTCCCATCATTCTCAGGCCAGCATCTTTTCTGTATTTTAGGAAGCCTCCTTCGTATCACACACTTTGTACTACTGTTTCTGGAATTTGGGGGCCCAGCTGGCCTCTGGCTCAGGAGTCCTGTGACTCTTGCTTGGGCAGTCCTGACCAACTGAGCCCCCCCACCCAGCTGGCCGGGCGGCTGCGGAGCGCTGGGGTGGTCTTCCCTGAGGGGAAGCTACTGTGGAATGCGCTGGGATTAAGCCGCCCCGCTGGCGGTGGGCTCCGACAACTCCTGCCACGCCTCCCTCCCCTTGGGACGTGTCACACGGAGCCGCTCAGCGCAGCGCCCCATGTGTGGCCGTGTGCCGAAGGATGCGGCCCCCTCCGTGCAGCTGGCGTCTCGTGTGGAAGTGCCGTGCCGCATCCGTTCCCTCTGGAGGGGCGCCACGGGATGCCGCCTCGGCTCGTGGGCCGCTGGCCTTTCCCTGTGGCTGCAGCAAGCCCCACCGTGGCCTCGGTCCAGCTCCGTGATGGAGATGGGGGAGGCGTCGGTGCCATTTCAGCCTGGCTGCACGTCCAGCAGGGCGTAGCAGTTGCATCCAAGAGCGTCCGCCCCTTTCGTGGGATGAAGGATTTTTAAGGCTCCTCCTACAGCAGGTGTGCAAAACCTTCCAGCCACACCTGGCCGAGGCCCGTCCCCTCCCTGGCTTCACCCCTTTTCTCGAGCCAGCCCTCGTTTGGTGGTTTTCCAGTTTTCTGCTCTCCTAAGACTTAGCTGTGGGCACTAGGTGCGAGGTTAAAATACTGGGGGTCTCTGCCCCACAGCGCTCCTTTGCCTTCAGTTGCGTCTCTAAAAGGCGTTTCCCTTGGACTCAGAGAGGGTCTGCACCCCAGCTGCAGGGCAACAGTGGAGGGGCAGGCCCCTTTGGATATTTTGCACTACAAATCCCATACTCCCTGACCATTGGCCATGCTAGCTAGTGCATATAGATCGAACCACAGGAGGGGCAGAAGGTTATTCTGTATGCATCGTAACATTCAAATCCTGTCTTTTTCTCCCTCTTGTGTGGAGCTCAAATCAGCTTAAATGATTCTTTCTCTCTCTCTGTCTCTCTCTCTCTCCATCTCCATCACAACAGCCCTGCAAGGTAGGTTAGGCAGAGAGCCAGGGCTGGAGCTGGGGGGAGGGTCCTGTGTCTAAAATGGCATGTTCAGGGCATTAAACGAAGGTGGGTTACTGGATAGAATTGCTGGAGGAGACCTGCCAGGCCGGTGGGGGGTGGGGGGCACAGGGCAGAGCGTTCACTCACACTGACAAAAGCCAGACCCTGCAGAAACCGCTTTGACGGCTTTGTGGGGCCGGAAAAAACAAAAGGCAAAACCTCAAAGAGCACATTCCAGGCATGGCGGCCACCAGCCCCACAAGCCCCCGCCCCGTCTTAGAGTGGGGAAGGTTGTGCCTCCCCTCCCCTCCCCCTTCCATCCCATCCTGGGGAAGCACCCATGGGGCTGGGCAGCTGGTGAACATGAGCTGGGGCACGGGCAGCTCCCGTCCCTCTGGCTGGTTGCAGCCCAAAACTTTTGGGATATGCCCCGAGTAGAGAAAGGGTCTTTTGCAGGCTGGACAAAGTGATAAAACACAGACCTTCCCCCATCCCCCAGTTGGCTGCCAGATGAGGTGGCTGGGTTGGGGATCCATCACTGCCAATTTCCATATGGGGGGGGAGAGAGAAAGAGTCCCCAGGTACTCCCGGCTTGGTTCTGCTCACAGGGCACAGGAAGAGCCCCCCTGGATTTGAGGAGGTGCCTCTCGTCCAGGTTTCGTTTTGCTCCCCCAGTGGCCGCCCCGCCGGCTCCCACAAGCAGGGGATGGGCGCCATAGCCCCCCGGGTGCCCCCGTTCCCCAGCCACTGGGGTGTGCGAAACTCCCGATGCGCATGGGGGTGGGGGGGGGCAGCACCCTGTCCTTTTGTGCATGGGCCTTGCTCAAGGGTAGGAGAGCTGGGACGCGCTTTCTCACAAGTGTGCTTTCTCCACCCCCCTCTCTCCGCAGTTCCTGCACGCCCAGGGGCAATACTGCACCGCCCACCTGCACGACACGGCCTCCGTGGCGCTCCTGGTGGTGGGCTTCGCCCTCGTGGTGCCCCTCCTGGTCCTGGCCCTGGCCGCCTACTGCCGCCTGGCCCGCCGGCTCCAGCTGGGCTACTGCCTTGTCCCCTACAGCAAAGCCGTCTACAAGAACCTCCCGGCAAACCAGTACCACAGCTCCGGCTGCTGCTGCAGTCGGGACCTCGACACGGTGGAGAAAGTCTGGGTCTGAGGAGGGGTGGCGGTGTGGGGGTGGGGGGCCAGGAGATTGAAATCGCCACGGGAAGGAGAACCCCATAGGACCATGGGCTGGGCTTCAAGAACATCAGCTGAGGAACCCAAACCAGCCAGCTTTGGAGGAACTGGCTCTCTTCCAGCGAAGGGTGGCTGCATCACTGCAGTGAGATGTGCTGCGGTCTGTCAGACTCTCCCCGAACATGAGACCCACTGCTAGTGTGGCCACTGTGGCTGTGCGAAGGCCCTTTGGAAACCAGGCACGCCTGGCTCAGGGAAGGGGGTGAGGTGGCTGATTTGGGCAGCAGCTGCGATCCCCAGCCTCTCCCCCGCAAGGACCATGAATCATTCAGGGAAGGGAAGAACGGACAGGAAGGATGCCTGTCTGGCTTGTGAGGAGAGGAGAGGAGAGAAGCAGGCCCTGGTTCACATCCTTCAGTACCGGAATGGGCAGACCTTTGCCCTCTGAAGCAGCCCCAGAGCCGTTGTGGTGCAAGTACCTGGCTCCAGTCCAGTGTTAGTGCAGCATGGCAACGCGGACGGATCCGCGCTGCACCAGCTCTGAAACCGGAAGCTTGAGAAGGCGGTGGGCCGGGTGAAGGCCGCTAAACGGAGCCCCGAGCCTGGCAGGATGGGGCTGGGTGGGCCCCGAGCCTGGGAGGTGGGCAAGTTGCTTGTTCTGGCTGGGGCTGGGCAGGCTGGGGCTGCCCCACGATCCGGCGCCGTCATGGAAGGCCCTTTGTGTTCCCGGACAAGGATCGCGCAAGCACTGTGGCCTGTGCATTGTCCCCCCGCACGTCGGGTCACTGCAGTGGCCACAGGTGGCGCTGCCCTTTGGCTGGCCCGGCAGAGGCAAGACGCTGCAGCCGGGCTGGTAGCGGGGGCAGCTTGAGCCAGCATGTCCTGCCGAACTGCATCTTGCCCGTGCTGCTGGCCAGTTCTCCAGGATTTGGCACCTGTTGACGATGCCCAAAGCAGTGCAGGAGGGGGCGCCTGGTTCCTGGGCCGCCCGTTGGGCTGCCAACCTCGCCCTCTTGCCGGTCAAGGTGCTGGTCCATCACGTGCAGGGCAGGGCCTTCAGCTGGGCTGCACCAAGTCCCTTCCTCTCCCGCCCAGCCCAGACGGGCCAGACACCAGCCTTCCTGGGGTTTTGGCGCCAACTGAAAACCCCTCGCAACCCTTCCCAGAACAGATGTCCTCCTTTTCCTTGCTGCCACTCTCCTGCCCGTTCCATGTTTTATACTGCTTTTTATTATGGTTTTTATACTGCATTTTTTGTATATTGTGTGGTTGTATCTTTTAAATGGAAGCCATTCATAAATGTTGGCAAACAAATACAAATCGGAAGAGACACTGTCTTTGCTGGTCTGTAAGTTTGTGGAGGGTGGGAGGTGGGGAGAGACAGGCTAACTCCTTAGACTGCAAGCTTAAACTTGTTTACCCGGGAGTACGTCCCATTGAGCTCAATGGGGCTTTCTTGTGAGTAGTCATGGGCAGAGTTTGCGATGTTAGGGTCTCCTTTCTTCCCTTAATTATGACCCTTTTGCTTACGCAGCCAGGGCTGTTGAAAAGTGGAAGGCAGTACTTGATTTCCTAAAAGAAATGCCCATCTTTTCTCACCCTCCTGACAACCTGAGTCCTTGGAAACTTAACTCCTATACAGTTAATACATTTACTGAAGATGAAAATAATTTGTACGGTTTTGTCAGTATGCATACTTAAGCTTTGTTGCAAACTTTTGGGCAACTGCCTTTGTATTTTGAGGGGGTGGGGAATTATTTAGTCCCCCCTGGTGAATTTTGCAGGAGGGTGACATGCAATGCAATGCAATGGGGTGGGGATTTTCAAGTGCGTAGTTTATGGTAAATGATCTCAAGGCATCTGTGCATGGTTGCTTTGGAAAACATCTCCAATAGAATTCAGCTTTCCAGCTGAGGTTTCACACAGGTGACTTCTCTCTACCTTCTCCCTCTGGGAACATACCATGTTTGAAACCGACCTTTTGCGCCAAGCTGGCACAGCAAGGAGCTGTCGGTCTGGCTTTCACTCACCTTGCTGGCACTTTTCTCCTGGCATCTTGCAAATCAAATGAGGCACAGGTAGGATGAGTGAGGTGCCCTCTTGAATGACTGTGGAAGACTTGTTGCCCCCAAAACTAGCCGCTGCTTCTGCTGACATGGGCTTGAGCAGAGCAGAGCTGAGCATCTGCCATGATAAACGTCTTGATCTTCCAAGCGCTGCAGTCATGCAGCCAGCTGGGTAGAAACTGTCAGACAACTGTCTTTCTACCAGAGAAGCAGGCAGAAGGTGCTTGCAGGCTTTTTATCAACAGCGAGTAAAAATACAAGGAATTGAAAGAATAAGGCACAGCCTTCAACAACCTTGTAAAAATCACTTCTCTTAGACTCTGCATTCCTCCGCTGGAATAAATAAGGATTAACTGATTGCCTTTGAGCAGGAATTTGGGCAGCCCTCCATATCAATTTCAGTTTTATATTCAAACACCTGAGTTGCAGTTCCTCAAAAAGTGGATTCTCATTTGAATATTCAGAGCAAATGTGCTGCAAAGATGTGCACAAGCCGTGTCCAAACTGGAACCTAGTCGCCCTGTTTCCGGCTTCTCTCTTTACAGAATGGGCCATAATCTGGAAATCTTGGCCTTCTAGTTCCCGCCCGCTTTAACAGGCCACGTGGCGTCTTCAGGATGTTTTGAGGACCAGAGCTCCTATCACTCCTTGCCGGAATGGACAACGCTCAGATTATCTGGAGGCTGCCAAATATGAGCGTAGCTTGCAGGACTCAGAATCTGGCAACTGGGGTTCAGCTGAGGCAGCCCGTGTCAGAGAATACTGCAGCCTCTCTTTCCCCTTCTGCGAAATGGGGATAATTTATTTATTTATAAAATTTGTATGCCGTCCAATTACTTGTGTCTCTGGACGGCTTACGGCATAGATAAGTTGACCATCCACACTGGCTGCAAATTAATAAAATACAATAAAATTGAATATTAAAACATTGATTAAATAAAAAGGTCTTAACCTGGCGCCGAAAGACATGATGATGGTGCCAGGCGGACCCCTCTGGGGAGCGCATTCCATAGTTGGGGTGCCACTGCAGAGAAGGCCCTCCTCCGGGTACTCTGTCTCCTAACGTCTTTCACGGAGGGTTCCCGGAGAAGGGCTTCTGCTGCCGATCTCACGGGGCGGGAAGGCAAATAGGGAAGAAGGCGTTCCTTTAGGTATCCTGGTCCCGATTTCATTGCAATCTACCTCTGGCGCAGGACAATGGTAAAAAGAGCGTGCTTGGGAACAGCTATAGGGAAACACTCCCCTGAGAAGGCCCTACATTTACAAAGTGTTGTTTTTCACTATGAAAGTGTTGGTACCTTCTGTTCCGCTCTGCTGAAGCTGCTAGGCCAGAAGACAGAAGTTCAGCCAGGGATGCTTTTCCTGGCATGGAGGTGCAGTGACCAGGAAAGCTGAAGTCTGACCTCTTGTGCAGCTGTCAAAGGCGGAAAGGACACCAACCACCCAGGGAAAGGCTGTTGCTGTTGCTGTGGGGTCAGTCATGCAAATATCCTGTTCCGAACAGGATAAGGAAGAACTGAATCAGCTCTGGGCGCCAAGAGGCCGATGGAAACTCCATGTTCTGGGGAGGAAGGAACCTTGGATAAGATAACAGTCTCCGGCTCCTGCAAGCTCTCCATTGTGATGTGGGAGCAAAGACGAGCCAAAGGAGACAGGCCTTGCTATCTATAGATACCGTTTCCTGCGAGGTTTGCTGTGGATGGAACAACCGCAGAGGTCGATCTGGGAGCAGGCCGTGCTGCTGCTTCCCAAGGCGGCTTTGGCAGGGCTTCCGTTGCGCAAATGCCCCTCCGTGCAGGCAGGCGGGGGGCTGCATGTACGCACCACCAGCCAGAGCTCCCCACACTACGGGATTGCTTACCCGCTCTGCAGCGGCGTTCTGCAGTGGAGCGGTGGGTCTCGGATGCCTCCTCTGGAGATTCTGTTCACGTTTCTAGGCCTTATGCGAAAACTTAGAAGCTGCAAGAAGGCTGGATGAAATTGCCAAGGTGACACCTTGAATAGCCTTCTCGTAGTTAAAGAGACATAATTCTGCAAATATTTCATATGTTACAAATTCCACTTTTATTTTTAGAGGTCTTTTTAAAGAAAGACATTAGAATATGTGCAATTCCTGGCTATTGCTCTACAGACTCTTAGGGGTTAACAAAGGGCTGGGGCTGCACCATCACACTTTCACAGACATTCCTTTGGAAAAGTTAAGAAGTGAGTTCCTGGCACCAGTTTGTATGTTCCCCTGCCCACAAACATCACGGTGACGCTGCCTTTTCCTGTACAGCAAAAGGGCTGCTGCCTCCCCTTCAGCTGGAGAGCAGGAGAGTCATGGCGCAGGAATCGGTGGCTTCTGCATCTTCATCTGACTCCTCACCAGTTCTCAGTGCTGATATGAAAAGGCTGAAAACATGTTGTGATTCCTCTTTCATTTGGGGGGACGGGGACAAGATGGAAGGCGAGCACAGGTGTATGCAGAGAAAGGACGGCCAAAGGAGCCGGCGAGGTGGTGAGGGTCTGGGCTGGGGCCCAGGTGAGTGGAAGGAGGGTCCCTGCCCCTCTCCTGCTCCCTGCACTGCAAGCGCTGCCCCACAGGCTTCTGGAAATAGCCGAGGGGCTCCGGCTGTCTCTGCTCGTGTGAGTCCTTCACAGCACAGCTCAAAGGGAGGTGCATCTCTGCCAGCCATTTGGAAGCAAACCTAAACCCCCTGCGAGCTGCATTTTGCTTGCAAGCCGTGAGCTGCACACTCTTGTGCTCGTGTGAAGAGCAAGCAAGCATCTGGGGGTACTGAGCTCAAAAGCAGTAAACAGAGGTGCAGCATTTCGGGGTGAGCTGGGAAGGGGTGTCGACTGGGTCGGGGGGGGGGCATCCTCTGCCGCACAGTGATATCTGTTGCTATAGAGCTAGCAGTCATTCCCCCCATCCAGCTGCACGGTGTTTCTTACGCTCTGCAGCAGTGCATTCCTAACAAACCAGCAAACAGATTTTCATTTGCTGCTGCCAGCAAATTTTGGCACCAGAACCACAGCGGAAGAGCAGCCTGCGTGGGGGTGGAGAGTGGCCCCCGAGCCCCCCTACAGTGGCCCACCCTGGTCTAGGTGTGATAAAACACACACACCGCTTCAGAAAAACAACACTGAGTTTTTTTCCTTGAATTCACAAACACCAGACAAATACGAGCATCATTACAGTCAACCGCTTCCCAGGTTGAGGCCGCAGACACCTCCTCGTTCCCACTTCACGCACCACTCTGGTCCGGTTTGACCGGCAGAGCTCCCGCTCTTCATGACCACCACAAAGCCCGGGTCACGCGGAACGGGAAGGAGAGCACCTCTAGTCGCCCTCCGTGGGACACGCGTCTTGGCTCTGGAGGACGCCAGGGCGTCACAGGTACTGCAGGGAGGCCAGGCTCTCCAGCTCCACCTCGATGGAGACGATGTGATGGCCTGGTACCATGGCGAGGCCCAAGACTCGGGGCTCTCCGGTGGAGAAGGAGTCTGCAGAGCAGAGCGAAGATGAGAAGTCAAGAGTTCAGGCCCCAACAGAGCCTAGAGCACTCCTGGCTCCTGCCAGGGAATCTAGGTGTTCGGCTGGTTGATTAATCAATTAAAAGCTTTTATAGGCAGCCCACTACAAGCGTCTCAGTACAGCTTACATGAAAAAGAAAGAAAGTTCCTCAGCTGCACCCCTCTTCTTCCCAGGAAAACCCCAAAGTCCCTTCCCAGACAATTCAGGAAAGCTGGCTGCCCCCGCCCCCCGGCCTCTCCCAGCTCCTGAATGACTTGTTACGAACAATTTGCCCCCACCATTTGTATGACATCAATGGCTCTCCAGGAAAGAAATGGGAACAAGGAAAGCAACTCAAGGCAGAGGGAATATTGGTCCACATGCTGGCTGGCATGTCTTCCCACCCACCCCCACCCCACAGGAGCCGAGGGGGCAGTGCTGGTCAAAGCCGGTTTTCCTTTTGTTTCAATCCTCTTCCCTCCGCCTGCCCTTTTCCTTGCGCATCAAGCCTTGTACGTCTGCCACCAGAGACGATCGTGTGCCAACAAACGACTGCAAGGCAACCTGGGAATTCTTTTGGCTGAGGAATGGAATAGAAAATTCCACAGGCGCAGCAAGCTGACAATTAACTAGGGGCGCAGGCAGCCGTGTCCCGAGAAGGAGCCTGAGTCTGGCAAGCCTAGGATGCTGTTTCCGCACAGGATGTTTTCCTGCTCCACCTGGAGAACCCCAGGAGGGAACCAGGGACCTTCCGTGGGCAAAGCAGGGCCTCCAGCACTAACCCATGGCTGCTCCCTTAAAGCCTGCAGGAAATACTGGACAGCAAATGGCTGTTTCTAAACAAATCTAAGAGAGCAGGCATTCAGCCGAGAACTCAGGTGACCACACTTACCTGTGGGCTTGAGGTACTCCTGGGCAGAGCCAAGGATCACATTGCAGTCTCGGTCGGTGCACAGGAAGCATCCCACCAGGGTCCGTCCGTCCGTCATACGGATGCGCATGCTCTTATTAAGAAGGTTCTCAAGCTTGCGGTGAGCATGCAGGTACGATGTATCCACTTTTTCCTCACTTGAATCCTAGAAGACACAGAGCGTTGTTCTTAATGGGTCAGAGGAACGAGGGAGTCTTCCTATCCTGGTTAACTGGAAAAGACTGCACAAGAACTGGTGCTAGGATGTCTTTTCTCCTTGTTGGCTTTGTTTTTCTACTTTTCAAAACAGCACAAACCAAGCCTGCAATCCTCATGAAGGGCGATAACACATTAGGCTGGTCTTGGCAGGTGCTTAGGAAGACTCCAAGAAACAGGTTTGGCATCCGTCTCCCTCAAGGCGTAATGGAGCACCCATGAAGTCAGAGAGAATGTAAGCCACCACTTTCTTCTAGCCACCTAGCTCTCACTTCAAGACCTTATTGAGAGTCATTTTTATAGGATGCGACATTGGATTAGGATGCTCCCAGCTTCATCCTCTCTCCTTCCATTGCTCCACAGTGAGGTGTGTCATGTCGGTATACAACACATGGGAGGTTCTCCTTTATGAAGCGCCTCCCCATCTCTTTTTCTGACTCCTCCATCTGGGACACACCATTTGCCTATTTTGTGTACTGCCAACCAGAAGAAAACAGGTTACAGCAGTTTATGTATAAAATCAGGTTGGTCTCTAGTTCTGGAGTTATGGGAGTTTAGTCCAATACACCTGGAGGAAAGCTGGGTGGGAAAGGGTGATCTGGCACATGGACCTGTTTGGGGGAAACTGTTGCTTCTTGATTTCTGTTCACAAAAAGGCATGATACAGAGTAGTTCTCACTCCAATATGTTTCTCATTCCATTTCTATACCATCCAATTGTCAAAGCTCTCCTGGCAGTTTCCAAAGGTTAAAACTTTAAAAATACAATATTACATAAACCATAAAACCTGTCAGCATACAACATATGGGCCGATTGCACACTCTCTTTTCCTAAGCAATTTTAAACAATCAACAAGAAAAAAAATCCAGAATTTGATTCAAATGTTATCACATGATGCCAAATGCCTAAAGGTAGAGGAAAGTCTTAACCTGATGCTGAGAGAATAACAAAGCCAAAAGGCTCCCATTTTTCTGTTTCTCAGTTAGATTTGCTAAGGAGTAGAAGAAAGATGCATTTTCTCCAAATTTCAATGTACGAATCTATAGGCTGGATGACAGAGAATGCCTTTGGCTGAACTGCTCTGGAAGACACACCAGGCTGGAGGAGACGGCTGGGACCCATCGTTTTGCCTTGCTTGTTGAAGGCGTTACGGAAATACAAAGTGTGAAATAAATATATTGATACAGATGTCCAGGCCCTTAAAACTTGCAGTCACTCAGGGCAACCCTAGGAACATTTGGTCAGATTTTTAAAACAGATTCGGAACTCCCAGCATTTCCCAGCCAGCTTTTTTCAAGGAGCTGCCTAAATGTGCACGGGGCTGCACCCCCGGGGAATTGAACGTCCCCCAGCCCCGTCCGCTCGCTGTGTGGACTCCCGCCCCCCCTCTCCGTCGGGTCCCACTCTTGCCCTGTAAAGTTCTTGCTCAAGCCTATCCCCCCCCCCACGCACGGCCCCCTCGCCTCCCCGCGGGGGAGTGTAACCCCCACACACTTTGGTGGGGGCTGACATGGACCCCCAGCCCTCCCGCCACTTACTGCAGGGCTGGGGCTGTTTCCACAGCCATTTTCCTCCCCCCTTTGCTGCTGCACCGCTTCCGGAGCCACAGGGGCCGCCATCTTCCCCACCGCCGGCGCAGGAAGGGACTACCGCTCCCAGAAGGCCTGGAGGCACCAGGCTCCCACAATCCTGTGCGCGGACTCGCCGCTCCCCTTCGCTCCAGGACGATCCGCCCCCGGTTCCCTCGCCCCTCCCTCTCCCCGTGGCCAGACGTCATCTCCCGTCAGGCCCGGCGCCTGGAGCTGGCGGTTGCCATGGCAGCGGCGTCGGCGCGGCCTGCTCCGGAGCATGGATTCCTTACGGCCTCGCTACTTCACCCCGCAGGAGGTGGCGGTGCACAACCGGCCCTGGGACCTCTGGGTCTCTTACCTGGGGAGGGTCTATGACCTTACCTCCCTGGCTGCGGCCAACCAGGGTAAAGTATGCGGGGGCCCCCCTTCCTGTGGGGTTCACCGCCATGCCCGCCTATCTGCCCCCCAAGTAGCCCGCAGACTCCCCCGTGGCTTTCGCCGCGCCCCGCAGCGGCTGGCAGGGGGCTGAATGCGCTGCTTAAGGTGCCCATGTTTCTCCTCCAAAAGGGGGACCAGGCCCCTGCATGCTCGGTTGCAGACTCCCCCTCTGGAGCCTAACAAAGGTTCTGGACTACAGCTCCCATCTAACCCAGCCAGCGGGGCCAGTAGTGTGGCATGATGGGAATTATGGCCCAAAATTTGGAGGGGGACCGGTTGAGAGGCGGGCTGCTCGGTTAGCTTATTCGTTTATCCTATTGATAGCCCACTTTTTTCATGCAAGGCACCCAGCGTGTCTTCCATGGTCCCCTGCCTTGTCTCCATTTAATCTTCACAACGACCTTGTGATGGCTGATGGCTTGGGCTGAGAAGCTGTGACTGGGCAGAAGGCTCCCAATGAGCTTTGGGGCTGTGTGGGGATGAGAGCGTGGGTCTCCCAAATCCCCGTTTGGCTCGCAAACCACTGTGCCGCATGGGCTCTCAAAGCGCCAGGCATGAGTTGTGGGTGCCAGAAGTCCCGGTGGGAGAGAATTCCAAGTAAAACCCAACCCAGTGTCCTCCAGATGTTTGGGATTACAGCTGCCACCATGCTGGCTGGGAATATTGGGAGCTGAAGCTCAATACATTGGAAGGTGCCAGAGTGGGAGAGTTGCCTGTAGCCACTGTATCACCTGGATGAATGTCCGGGAGCCCAATTTGAAATTCTGCGACCCTTCCTTCCTCAGCTCACCACAGGACATGAGCCATGCAGCCATTATGGTTTCAGTATCAAGCCAGGCTCAGTCCCTTCCCGGTTCCGCTCTAGTTTGCTTTATGCCGCATTTCACCTGCAGGAGAGCTCTGGGCAGCGTACGCAATGTATACGACCTTTACATTGGTGCAGTATTACACTGCTTATGCAAATATGAAATCTTGGTACAGGATGCTGAGGAGAAACACCAGTGGAGAAGGTGCTCCTGTTTTTACCCCCCGCCCCCACTTATACCTCCAGCCCATTCCTTCCACACCAATGGTCAAATTAGCCTCCTTTTTTATTTTGAAAGAAAATCTCAGTGAAAATTTAGATTATTTGCATGCATATTGCCCTAGTTCTTGTTCCTGGATGTTTTCTTTTATGTAAGGATCAGATAGCAGAAGATGGGAAAGACCCCATCTTGGCTTGAAAGCCCCCGCCCCCCCTTTGGCAGAGAGGCTACTAGTTAAATCCTGGCCTAGGCAGCCTCTGACTTGGGGTAAGGCAGGTTTACCTGTTTATGTAATATATGTGTAATCTGCCTATCCAGGTGATCTCTTGCTGAAACCTATTCTGGAAGCAGCAGGGAAAGACATTAGCCACTGGTTCAACCCCAAAACCAAAGATGTGAGTACTTTAGCTCCAGGCACTTGGGGCAATTGAGAACAGTGGCTGGGGCTGAGGACAACGCTTGAGAAAGGTCAGCCGAGTGTTAGTTATCTCAGTGTTTGGGTTATCGTGCTGTTTAACAGAGTACTTACACTTATTGTCATAAATTTTGTTTGTTTGAATTTATTGGGTGTCCAGGCAAACTTCTTTGGAAGGGCATTCTGTAAGTAGGTGCCACCTCTTAAAAGGCTCTCTCTCTCTTAGCAACCGAACTCACTTCATTTAGCAAGTGTGCATAGACAGAAGACTCAGATGATGATCTTAGGATCCAGACAAGTAAATCTAGGAGAGAGGTTGAGTAACTAAGCCCCAAGCCATTTAAGTCTTTAAAGGTGCAGTCTGATGCACGTCTAGACAGGGAAATGTCCTACAATTTCCAGTATGGCTTCCAGGGGGTGGTGGAAGTTTTATGCCTTTTTTCTGTCTAAGCGTACATAGGGTGCACCTTAAAGGTTAAAACCAGCGCTTTGAGTGGGGGCAAAAAATGGGCTGGAGACCAGTGGTGATGGTACAATCTTGACATGATATGACTGAATCAGTAAGACCTAGTTAACAAACTAGCTGTCCTTGTTTGAACAAACTGAAGGTTCTGGATCATTTTCAGAGGTAGACCCACCCAATTTAAGTATGTGCAGAAGTCTTTTCCAATGAGTTCACTGAGACTTATTCCTTGTACTCGTAAGTCTGTTTAGGACTGTAGATTTATGGTACAATCTAATGCAGTTTTAGACAGGAAAAATCTCCAACTCCCAGCATTTCCTAGCCACCTGGGTTTCTGCCTCTTACTCTCCAACCCAATTTTCATTGCTTCTGCAGATTTCTATGCTCCTTCCAAAGGCTGTGCATGGCACTTTTTCTGGCTGCCTGCAAGCACAGTTCTGCAGTACCCTAAGAAAACATAGGGCAGGGTGGGATGCTAAAAGCTCAGTGAGCAAGGAGCACATGCCCAGGATGGCCCACTCCACCATTTATAGTGCCCTCAGGCTTCAGTTTCCATGATTTCTCTGTTCTTCAGCTATGATCAAGACTTGTTGTATGTCTTATCTTTATTAGATTTTGCATAATCTTCCATTAAAAATGGTTGGCACTTACCATAGATATTTCTCCTTCTTTGGGCTTTACTAGTTCGTTAACAACTTCCTTGAGTTTTGCTATCCTAAAATGGATACTCCCTGAGTGGCGTTTCAAAGGCAAAGTAAAGAGGACTAGTTATTCCTGTTACCACAAATTTCAACAGATGGCTTTTAATTTTGACACCACGTCAGTCATCACGTGTGTGAGCCCTGTTCTTAGCACCCACTCCCCTCCTGGCCATGAGTCAAGTGCAGGACTCCTGCTGACATCTCTTGCCTTTCTTCCAGATACTGACGCACATCGACCCTCTCACTGGGTGCCTCAAGTACTATACCCCACAAGGTCGCTTTGTGCATGTCCCACCTCCATTGCCTCGCTCAGATTGGGCAAATGACTTCGGCAGGCCCTGGTGGAAAGATTGCAGATATGAGGTGGGCTTCTTGTCTGCCAAAACCAGGCATATTCGGATCATCAACACTCTGACTTCTCAGGAACATGCTCTTGAGGTGAGTGAGCCCTGTCCTACTTCCACAGAGTTAGGATTAAAAAACATGATTTCAGCAAATGGACTTCCTTCCTGGCTCATGTTCTTGAGTATTCACCCCCGTGAATAGTTAATTTGGCTGATTTGCTCTGCCAAGGTCATGGAGGTGTAAGGGAATCCCTTGGTTTTGCAATGTATCCCCAAATCCTGTGATTCCATGCATGGAAGTAACTAGGAATGCTCCACAGGTGTGTGCAGAGGAATCCATGTGGGAGATCTTGCGGCGATACCTGCCCTACAATGCCCATGCAGCCAGTTACACATGGAAATATGAAGGCCGCAACCTAGACATGAACAAGAACCTTCAACAGAACCAGATTCCAGATGAAGATGAAGAGTTCTACCAGCTCAACATGGATGCAGATTCCTTCACACCAGCCGTTTTGCTGTATTTCAATGATGACCTCACTGAATTCTAGGTAACACCAGGAGAGTGGAGAGCAGTTGTATCAAGTGGGTATCTGAGGAGCTTGCCTCATCCCCTGCCATCCCAGGATCCCCCCCCCACCCCAGCTCATCACATTTAGAGTTCTGTGAACTTTCCTACTGTCCCGCTGAGGCCTGTTCTGGCTCTCCCCTCTTCTTCAGGGCCATATTCTCCTTTCATCTTAGCAGCTGCGATTATGTTCTGCAGCAAGTCACTGATCTGATGTGCCATTCAGTTGTGCTTTCCTTGAGCAAGAATAGGGGGAAGCCATCGGTGATCTGATGGGTAGCCTCCCTCAACCTAATATTCTCCAGATGTGTTTAAACTGCAGCTCCTATCATTCTCAGCTAGTATGACTATTGGCATGCTGGGTGGAAGTGATGGGAGTTGCAGTCCAACACATCTGGAGGCTGGGGAAGTTGGGACTGATGTGTTTCTTGTCAAGCTGATAGCAGGAAGGACCCCTTCTCAGACCTGCCTACCTGGAAGCCTGGCAGGGGTGGGGAGCATGCAATATTCCACTGGGAGAAAGGTGAACTCTGGAAGAAGTTCCTGATTGGGGAATTGTGGATTGTCCTGTTCCAGATGTGGCTCTTTTTCCGAAAGGTGAAAATTCTTGGCATGAATTCTGAGAGCCTCTGTAAATATATTTCTCACCCAGGACACATTCTGTGGCAAGAGCAGAGAGGCAACACCTGCTTTGCCCATGTTGATCACGGAGATGTGTGAAGCGGGCACCAAGAAGATAGACAAGATGGTGGCCCTGCTGGCATGTATTTCTGGGTCAGAAGTGATGAAGGTCCTGTGTTACAGTGAAACGTTTTCTGGATTTGAGGCTCATCATTGCTTTCTCCTAATGGATCAGGCTGCTATATCTCCATGTAAGAAGTAAAGTGATTCCTTCCAGTCAGACTTCTAGCTAATCTTGTACCCCCATTTCTTGGGCTTATTCGGTCCAGTTTCAGGCACCACCTAGGCCAGGATTCACAATTCTTCAGGTGGTGATATTTTCTGGAAATGAGGATGCCGTAAAATGTATTATTTTCAGTGGCTCAGAGGAAGGGACCTTTGGCTAGAGGCCCATCGCGTCCTGCAGGTCTTATAATTAGCGAGCAGTCTACCTTGGTGGCCACTAGGGGTCAGGCATGGCTCATCAAGTAGCCATTTTGCAGCAATGCAACTTTTCAAATGGTTTTAAATACAGTGCTGACTCTTACATCCAGCAATTCATTATCTTCCAGGGGCATGAAAATTGGGAGACGCCCTACTGCCGCTCTTCCTTTTTCATTTGGAAGGAAGCATTCTTTTATATCCAAATGCAATCTTGGTTGTTAAGGTTACCTGTCCCCCTGGCAGTAGGCACCTCGGGGCCTGGAAAGTTTCTGGGTGAGGTTTTTGTGGTGCTGCCTCATTTGTTCATTAGCCTCCAGTGTTTTCCCACTGCTGCTTCTATCTGCCTTTCTTACCCCCAAAATCTGTTAAACAGTACAATGCCTTTTGGCTGATAGTGTTAGAATCATGCAAGTCCCCGCTCAGCAACCTTGGGTTGCTGTTTTTCTCAGCCTAGCCTGGGAGGATGGGAATAATTAAAAAATTAATAAAACAGACTGTGGAGTCAGAAAAAAGACTATTGATAAGTCCAGATTATTCTTTTGTAGTGCTGCATTAGTTGGAAAAATGTCTAAAATTCTCTAAACACCTGTAAATATTCCCTTAAATAATTTGGGTTGGATACAGATTATCGTATTTGGAGTAGATCCATTGATTTCAGTGGGACTCCTTTAGATAGGATTAAATCTGTATTCAACCTGTTGAAATGATGTGAGGGAAAAATATGTATTTGAGTCTTAATAATCTGTTTATGCCCTTTGGGCTTGGAGTCAGTACAAAATACCCAATCCTATGCATCTTTCAGCTGGGTTTCCTTTCTATTAAGTGTGTTTAGGATTGCAGCCAAAGTCTGCTTTGACATCCTGCATTGGTAGAAAAGGTAAATCCATGCAGTCAAGTGTGTTGTGGAAACTCATGTTTTTCTAATTCTTCCCCATGTCAAATTTTTCTCATAATATCTGCCTAGGGGTAAAGAACTCAGTATTGTGTTAATTCAGTATAAATTACACTACACAAGCCATCAAAATAATGCATTTTGATTTTTAAAGAATTCCAGCTGCACTGTCCCAATATTTAATTATATTAAAAAGTATAACTTTTAAAATAAAAAATTAAAACTAAAGATAACCCTCATGGAATTCCCATTCATCAGGGGCCATGACTGCCAGTCAGATGACATTGCAGTGCTTCTGAAATGTGCTTTATCAGCGTGTTTGGGGAGCTGCCATAGTAAACACATCTCCGCACTTTGCTGCTCAGGCTTGCTGCTGAGAGGTTGCTACCAAAGGTAGTTCTTAGCGAACTATCAAGATCTGGATAAGACACATACACTCACGGAGAGAGAAAAGGAAATGTTAACTGCCAGTCCAGCCATATAGCATAGAAGCATCCATGGATCATCATGCATGGATAGCCAGTGCGGTAGAAAAGGAAATGCTTAGAGCAGAGTCAGGCTAGACCTCCGGGGGAGCAGGGAACCCTGTGGTGCGGTGTAACTCCCTCCAGTGAGTGTACTTGTGCGATAATTGCTTGGTGGGTGTTTCTCTCTTGCCAGGCAGCAGCTGGGTTCTCCGCCTGCTGACCCGTGTCTGTAGGCAAAGTGGCGGTGCTTTGAGAGAGGCGGTGGGTGGGTGAGAGGATCTTCCTTCAGAAGGAGCGAACATGACAGATCTCCAGGGAGGTTATTGACTGAACAAAGCTAGCCTGTTAACTTTTAAAGACAGCTTCTGATCCAGCCCCAAATGTTTGTGAACGTTCTGCTCAGGCTTGTTTAGCACTACAGCCACATTTGGAAACCTACCTGAAACTGAAGGGCCAAAGATGTAAAGAGGGTAAAAAGCACATAAAGGGAGATTCTCACAAATGTGTAATGGAGGAATTTACAGTGCACTCTGAAGCCAAAAGATACTAAATATGCCAGAATCCTAAACATATTTTGTCCCAGCAAGTGTAACTTAATTTAGTATGATGCATTTATATGATGGGTTTTTTCCCTTCAGAGACTTAGGAAATTCTAGCAGTGTAGTCTTCCCAAGGGTTTCCTCCTGTTGCAATCCCAAAACATTTATGCGTATGAAATTTAAAAAACTCTCTCTCCACACATAACCAGGAGAACGTTAATTAAAACAGCCAGTGCTATATACATTAAGGGTGCAACCCTGTGCATATTTAGGTGGAAACAATGCCACAGCTCCCCGTGTGCTCCAGCTGCTCGAGGCACATACACCTGAAAATATCCAGGGCAGCTTGGAGAAGGGGTGCCGCTTAGTGCTGGAGCGCACGCGTTGCATGCCTTAGGCCCTGCATAATTCCCTGCACCTCCAGGTGTGGCTGGGAAAGAACCCTTGGCGGAATCTCTGGAAAGCCGCCAGCGCTCAATGTGGTGGACATGGCTGAGCTGTACAGACCAGTGGTCTGACTCAGCGTAAGGGACTGGCGCCGTCCTCTGATCCTAGACGCCCACCTCGTTTCTCACCGTTTGCAGTCTACTCACAAGCACATTGTCCTCCTCTGCTCCTTGGGCATCCACATTTCTGCTCAGTGGTGGCAGAAATAGCGGCATCTGTCTACTCGCCCCCCATAATGCTAATAAGGCCCCAGCTGCCCTCTCGCTTTTGCTCTCCTCGGGTAGTTGCTGTCCCTGGCAGCTGTTGTAGGGGAAGGAGCAACCTCCTAACTGTGGGTTATAAAAATGAGACGTGAAGGTTGAACCTTATCTTGTACTGGCAGGTCCCATAACCTCTGGGAAACCTTCACTTGTATAGAGAACAGATGGGATTGCTGCCACCCATCTTCCAGCCTCCGTTTTTGAAAGGAAGTCCTGACCACAAAAGCAGAATTTCTCTTGACCTGTGACCTGCCCTCCTTTCTCTTCTTGCTGTCCCACCACCACCACCACCTGGGACAACCTCAGCTGACATATGGTAGATGGATATGCAAGGGAGCATCTTTTCCGTTTCAGTTTGGCCTCGGCCCTGATCTTTTACTCTGAAGGAAGGATGGCTCTTCCATAGATTATTTGGCAGGGGGTTTGTAGAATAATCCATTATTTTCTTGTGGAGTTTAGCTGCAGTTGGCAGCTCTTTGCTGCAATCCTGTGTACACTTAATTGGGAGTGCATCCCATTGAACAGAGGCTTACTTCTGAGTAAACATGCGTAGGTTTGCACTGTCAATTGATTTGATTTTTTTGGTAAATTATTTTACTGAGATTTGTTATTCTCCTTAGGAATCGTTTAAAAGGCAAAAAGGTGGCTTAAAAATGTTTGTGAAAACATATGTGAAGTTTGCGTACACACAAGTTCCCATCCTTGAGAAACCAACAATGTTCCTCTGACTTGTTCCTCACGCATATTCATCTTATACCCAATCACTTTACCATTGCACAAATCTAGGGACTGAATGGTAAGCTCTCTCTGGCTGCCACGGTTGAGAATTTTTTGGTACCACGTGGACAATCAAGCCGCTTGGCATAGAGGCTGGACTAGGGCCAGGGAGGCCCAGCTAGATGACCTCCAGCCAAATCATTAGCCTAATCTATCACACTAATCTGTTTAAAAGAGGAGATTCCACCTGGGGATCTTTAGAAGGAAGCTGAGATGTAAAAGTGATAAAGACAACGACAGCAAGCACTGGTATGTAGGCCTGCTATGCAGTGCTTGCTTTTCTCTCTCTCTTGGTTTGTTTCCTATTCTGAGATGGATGAACAAAGTAATGGTTATTACTGTACAGCCAAACACCTTTCTTATTTTTTATTTTAAAAATGTGCATCCTACCTTATTTTCAGGAGAACTTAAGGAAGCTATAAAAACATCACAATATATAAAAGCACTTGATAGCACTCTCCATTCCTAATACAAACAACCATAAAATCACATTAACATTATATACTAACAATAATCACAGTTTCTG